AACGACAAAACATCCACCACAATCGTATTGATTGCGCGAACAGATCTCTGTATGTCACGTGTGTATGTGTATTGCGTGTTTTTTTCTTTTTTTTCTTTCTTGTTTTAATTGCATTGCCTATTTAATCCATTAGATATTCGGTAACTGTAAAAAAGACTTACAAATAAATGATTCGAGGTTCAATCGATTCTAGAGTTATGATTCTATCTACAAATAATAATACCATCGTAAAAACGGAGAGACCAAAGCGATACACAATGTAATTAAATATAATATAAACTGCCTCAAAATGGCTACCTATTTACTGCTATCATAAGTGGCTATTATGATAATAGTCATTAAGTATCGTTCACACTTCTTTGATTGTGGTTTAGTTACATACTTTAAGACGTTATGATACATGTGAGTATGACACGGAGTTCCACTAAAAATATCTGTTAGATACGCTGAGCATTACTGACTTAAGCACTGTACTAAATTCACATAAAATTGTATTGTATTATTATTATTAGAAAACTAATTATTTTTCATTGGTTTGAAATACTGGTTTAATAGATCCGTATAAAACCTTTGTCAACTGGAACTCTTAGAATAATGATTTACACGATACCGATTCCTTGTTAGAAAGAATGCTATATACGAGTAAGTCATTACAATTCAACTCTCATTGGACATTACAACAGGCAACAATTGCAAGTCATGTTTTTAGTTCGCATTAACATCACAATATCCAATATACGACTTATTTCTCTTTCCTTTCTCTTTCCTTTCCTTTTCCAATATATCGATATATTGTGAAATGTACAGAGACAATCGAGTCTGTTAAATACGTAATGATCGCATAAAGAAATGATAAATGAGAATAAATACAGTTATGTAAGATCTGTGACATATGTTTCGATTAATGTTCAACTTTAGCTTCTTGAGAATGTATTCATCAGTCGGATGGCAGCAGTCTTACTGCAATTAATAGAAGCTCTAACAAGCCTTCTAAGTTAGATTAGTTTTTTCCTTTACATGTATCTTGTATATTGTCTAATATAAATAAATTAATGATCCAGTATGAGGCCAGAGAAAGGCAGTTACATACTCTAAGTGATAGATAAACTTTACTTTATCTTCTATGTGTTATTGTTCATATCCACTTTTGTTTTGTATCTGGCACTCTTTCCTATTTTAGGCTGCTTCTCAGTTTAACTGTCATTTATTTTGCTGGATTATTGCGTTGCATGGAAAAATATGGCTTTATCCAAAATGCTATTTAACAAAGGCAATACATCGTACAATTACATTGTATGCGCGCCACAGTTGTTGTCACACAATTAAACTTCTTTGAAAAGGCAGAACCAGTGTCCGTAAAAACGAGAGACTCCCCGATTTTTACAGACATCAGGTAATTCTTATCGTCAATTACAAATGCTGTTATTTGTACACTATGCATGTAAAAAGCATTACACTACATACGTCATGATCGTTCATCTCTTGTGATGTTCAACAAAGCTAAATGGTAAACTTCGAATAAATACCGGTTTTCCTCTTACTGTATAAGTATCAAGGTATATATAGAATAAAGGCAGAAAGAAGAAACCTTCCTCGACAAAGTGCCTACAAAAATATTTATATAATAGATTGAGGATTGCTGTTCTAAGACTTTAATCTGGTTATATTAGCCACGTGTTACCAGTCTTAAACATAGTGACTAATCGATTATCATGGACAAGTCTTTTTGTCTTTCTACAACTGTATACATTTTTGATCTTTAAGCGTCACTCTCAGGTGCAGGGCATATAAAGCGTGTCATAATTAAGAATCTCTTTACCCCTCTGTGGGGTACATTTAAAAATACAGAAAGATAAATACTCGGTAAATACGTACATGTGTACAGATGCCACAGATAACTTATCGAGAGCAAGCTGAGTTTCACTGAATCATATATAAATATGATGTAATAAAAAATAACTTATGCTACGAATGCCTTCCCGTCAAAATATTTCGAGGTCATTAAAAAAATATCGGTTATATGACATAGTCAATCTTCTTTTTCACTTTTTCTGTTTTTTTTTGTCTTTTCTTCTTTTTTTGAACTGTACTTTGTAAATTCGCCTTGTCACGAACGATATTGATGCAGGATTCAAAAATGTCTCACACTATCCATATAGGCTAGCTACATCGGTCACTAAGTAGAAGAACGGAACACGGCTGATAATCAACCATACGCGTAGCGTTCGTCCACAGCATGAAGGAATTCTTATCTTAGATATATGAATATCCTATACAACTTGTATTCTCGTCAGTGAACGTCTCATTAAGTGCGCTTACATACAAATCCTGCGTATAAAAAAGTCTCAAAATAATAAGATTTTAAACATATTTGTTCAACGCTCGATCTAATGTTTTGATCTTTAGTGTTATTTTCCTTATAAGTATAACGCCATTACAACGCAAGCACTTATAAGTATGGAATTAATATTTTCGATATTAATTCATGATGGATGACGGATGGAGTTCCTGTATAATGTTGTATAGTCAATCCACCTATAACACGGTCTTCCGAGAACACGGTTTCCATATAATATAACTTCATAAACTTGGAGAATTCTCAGATAACATGAATTATGCATTTGATCCAAAGACCAAAACTGAATGTTATTTCAGTAATTCTACAGTTTAGGTACATCACAGAATCGAATCCTTTGATCCACATTATTTTTAAGTTTCCTTTGGAATAGTTTTGATACAACACACTACGAATCCAACCGTGTTATAGAAGGGTTAACTGTATTTTATACGAGAACAAACATTAAAGAGGCAGTTTATTTCAAAGTTCTTAAAAAAATATTTCCTTAAAAACTCTTGTTTTGTTCAAATGCAATTTTATCAAATTGGTGTTCTAAGGAAAAAAAATAAATTTACTTTTTTTTAACTTAAAATCTTTCGGGTTATTTATATGATTACATTGAAAGTTTAAATTTAAAAAGACTTGCACTAAAACTTCGTAATAGCGATTCAGGAGAATGAACGCTATAACAAGGTTGTTCCTATTTCACTCCAAAACAATGAAATTCAAGATTTTAGTGGCTACTGCTACTCTTACTGCTACTCCCCATTCATGCTACTCAGTGTAAAATAGTTATTTTTGTGATTAGGGAGTAAAAGTGGTTTTTACACCCGGAGGGTGTTCGACGGCACGAGGGCTGGCGAAACCAGCCCGAGTGTACGGTCGAACACACGCGGGTGTGAAAACCTTACTCCCGAGTCGCGAACAAAATTTTTCGTACTAGGGAGCTGTGAAGGTGGGGAATGAGGTTCATGTATTGTTTTGCTGAGTGGGGAGTAATTGGGTGTTATTTATTTACAATTCTCCGGGGTGTAAAATCGCAAATGCGGGAGTAAAACTATCATTTTACGCGCCCTAGTACGAAAAAGATTTTTCACGCTATTTCGAAGTTTGCTATTACGAGGTTGCAGTATTAAAAATAATTTTAGATAAAAATCAGTAATTTAGCTTTGAAGTAATTGTCATTTGAAAAATTGTAGTTTTTTCTTTAAGGTGGTTGCATCCTATTTCTCATGCATCAATGTGTCATAATTATTCAACATTTCAAGGGTAGAAACGATTGTAAATTTTGTATTTTACATTTTGTTTATATTAAAAAGCATCTCACATTCTAGTTTAGACTCGTAACGTATTTAATTTCTATTGTTTTTAATTATTGAGTCTCATTGTTATTAATAATTTTATTCAACATTTATTCTGCTTTAGATGAAACAGAACAAGAATAATATTAATATATATAGATGTATAATATATATAGATGTATATGGAAAATCTCCCGCAATACTTCTTTGGTCCAAAAAATAAAGTTATTTATAATTTTATTATCGCTCGATTTAGACCTTCGTTTCTTTATAAAGTTATTTATGTTAAAACACTATGAAATGAATTACGATTTTTTTTAACATAAAAGTAGCTATAACCCGAAAATGAGTTATTTCCGGACCTATATTAATACAGGTTTTTTCTTTTCTTTTTTTTGGATTTTAAATCATTTTCCGAAGTATCATAGGTAATTTTCCAGCCACCCTGTGTGTATATTATAAATCTCTTCATTCTTTATCTCTTTATTATATTCAAGAAAAAATTCCAAAAACTTAAGAATAAACTGTCTCTTTAAAAACTACCACACATCGTGTGATATTAGCATAAATTCATGATTCACAATTCCTGATTCACAATAAATTCATCGTACAAAAAAATGAAAAAATATAGAACGCTTTCCAAATAGCCGTAGAGTAAATTAAGGACATTGGAAGATGTCGCAAATATAAAAAAATATCGAGGACGTTAAGAGTATAAGAATGATTTCCTTCTTATATACATACATACATACATACATACATACATACATACATACACACACACACAAACAGACAACTCAATTTTCGGAGAGACACAAATATCAAGTTGCCTTGAATTGTTTGCATCTTTAGTTCTACCACACAATGAGAGGAATAATATTCCAACTCTCAAAACTCGGAGATAACATATACCGCATAGCAAGATTGAGAAGCAAATCTCTTCTTTGTCTCTATATCTGTCCTTGATTTGTAGTTCATCGTTTGCACTACAGTATACAAACAAAGACCATAATTGATTCATAATAATTTTCATCTTTTCAATTCCATTGAAAAATCGTTCTACCAGCAAACATATTTCCATACATACTACTTGCAAATCTGATACGAATAGTGAACCACGAATTCTGTATTGCGTATTCTCTGCCGCTAGCTTTACATAGAGTTATTATGATATAATACACACTAAGTATACGATCGTACTTCAGTATACTTTAGTATACTTCATGATACAATAATATGCATCTTTGTACTTAAAAAAAACTGGGTTTATCAGGCAGTCTTCCTAAGGATATTAAATCCAACATAAATATGATGTAAGACACGATCGCCTGCAAGTTTCTTAACTTAATGCTGTGTCCGAACTTTTACATATGGTATCTTCTTTTATATACATGGAGTGGAGCTGTTCGAGACACAAAACTACATCTCCAGAACGCACACTGGGTCAATAATGGCATAAATGCAAAAATACGTTATATGCTGGAAACATAATAGTCTTGTAAACCAGCACGCGAACGCGCTGCTACGAATGAATAAGGCAATGTAAACTGAAAATAAAATAAAAAAAAAAGGAAAATAAAATATAAACGCAATGTAAAGGAGCTAAAAGTGTAAAAACCGACGAGATGGTCTGGAACAGCTCTATGATGCGGCGATAAAAAGTTTGTTGATTCAAAACTGAATTCTAAAAAAAACTCACTACTTCTTTGTACAGCACTACGGTAGGCTGGAATTTAGGCTCTCTGGCAAACGGTAATTCATCATATGATACGGTGGACTGGCCGGACTACTCGGTTGGCTATTCATACCAAGATTACTGGAACCGCGGCCGCGTTTTCGCCTCTGTAGAATGCCCTTTCTGACCATGTAGAAGCGAATTGTGCTGATCGGTATCTTATACTTTTCCGAAGCTACTTGAAACGTCATACCGCGTGCCACCATGTCCGAAGCTTGCTTGAGTTCCTCTTCCGAACGCCTTTGTCGTCTTTGATAACCTTGAAAGATACCAAAATGTTTAGCTTGCATAAATATGATATACAAATAAAATGTGAAATACAAGATTAGATTAAAGATTCACCTTCAATTGCAGGGAATGGGCTGCTAGGATTGCAATTATTACTGGATACCATACTAATGGAATATGGTTTGACATCCTGCTGTTGTACAAATTGCTCATCCGGCTCCATTTTTACCATACCCGTGGTTTCCGTAAGAGTCGCTTCGCAAGCGCTAAGAGCTTTTTCTAAATGTTGCAGCGCTTCGCTATGTTCCATGTTTACGAAATTGGAGGAGTTGGGATTTTGTGAAACAGGAGGCGTGATAGATGAAGAATTGTTTCCTGTGCTAGCCATTGCCGTACATGAGAGAAAGTCAGAGGTACTTTCATCGTTCGATGAAGTATCCGCCTTGAAGTTGTCACCGGGAGTAGGAGTTGACGGAGTGACAGGTGCATTAGAATCGCACGATTGTGTATTGCTCTCATTCACCGTGTTATCGCATCCCTGAGTGGATAAGCCACGAACCTATTGAAGAATATATAATATATTGCCTAATATGTTTTTGCATATAAGGCAATATTCATATTATATTATATTATTACTATAAAGTAATAATATAAAATAGTATCCACAAATTACATAAAAACACATTAATATTTTACCAACTGGTTAGAGATTATAACTTCCAATATACCAGTGCCAGTACTAAAAATCTACATATGATTCACGTTATACATACAATAGACTTTTAAAACTCACAGCGTATATCGAAGCACAATCTAAGATCGGTTGATTCTTATATTTAAGACCGCCTTAAGTAAAGAGTCTTAAGTCAATCCCAAAGCCATGTTAGCATATTAAGATATTATTTGAGATAATCTTAAAATAAGAACCGATTTTGAACAAGCCTAAGATGAAACTATTGCTAAAAGAATTAAACAAAAATTGACTGAAACAAAAAAGTTATAGTGATATCAGATGCGTTCTGTTTCGCAAATCAGAGGTATCTGTATTCATTCTATTCTATATTCATCGAATTCAGTGAATAAGGTCATAATGATTACAAATGACTCTGATTTGCAAAATCAAATGCAACTATTGAAGCATAGTGTTAGGACATTTGAATAGTGCTATATTAACATCGAGGTTAACTTGTACAATGCATAAGGACGACAAAATTAGAAAGAGGAACAGCATTTTTGAAAAGAATTTCTAAAAAAAATTGCAGAATTGTGCAAATAAGGACAACGATTTAATTGTCTAAGAGTGGCATGAGGTCTAATTCGTTCCTGCAATTGGATACAAACTATTGTTAAATAAATGCAGATGGACAAGTCAAAGATCGATACCTGCAAAACTTCTGCTGCTTGCATCAATGTAGCAAGTTGTTGTTGCTCCACATACACCTCACCACGATACATAAATTCAACCAAGGCTTGGAGCTCCCACATTTTCATGTCTCTCAAAAAGATGACAGGATGAGTGCACGGGATCTCCAATAGAAGACGCTCTAAATAATCGCTGCAAGCGGACAACACAACCTTGTGACACTTTATCGAACCTCCGTCACAAGCCAGAGTCACATCGACAAACTGCTCCGAACTGAGTAACTTTGGAAATGCACTATGCATGTTCGACTGATGGGAATTCCAAGAGACACAGAACTGCTGACGATCTCCTCCGGGATAAGTGCCCGAATTGGGCAGATTACTTCCAGATTCCATGATTGTAGCTTAATGCAGAACAAGTTGCCTGTCAAAAATAAAACCAAGAATCATTTCATTGTACGATTGTGTCGCAAAAGGATTGTTTTGTTTCAAACACAGATTCGCGTTACTTCAAATCTCTAAATGTTTGCACCTAAAACGAGATAAATATAATAATATATATTCGGACGTTGAAAAAAGAGAAAACAAAGATGTCGAGTACAAAAGGTGCAAGCAACGCGAAAAGGCCTACGGTATGGGTTATTACAGAATCACTCTAGAGAATGAACGTTATAAATAAGATTTTATGATAATAAGAAAAAAAAAATGACGAAAAATGTACGCTTAAAAAACAAAACTCCGATATCCTTCAGACGTCTCTTAATTTTTTGTGCATCACTCGGGTCTTAATAATTGAACAAAGCGGCACATTCACACAAGGCACGCTAATGGAAACCCGCAAAATAAAAGTATAAAAAAAAAAAAACAAAACGTTCGACAAAGGCAGCAACAGCGCTAACTTGAAAACGGATTCGGAGAAGGAACGCATCCAACGCCGCGCGCAGGGTCTCTCCTTCGGCCGCAAGTTATTCTTGGACGCCGTAATTAAACGGAACAAATGACGAATCTGACGTTCCGGAGCGGCGGCCGGACCTTTCGTGTACGCGAATTACGCGAGGAGAACGATCCCTCTTTCAGCTGTCGAGGGAAACGCGCGGCGCGGCGCGGCGCGGCGCAACGCGACGCGTCGTCCTCGGCGACAGCTAAGCGGCGTCGGAAGAGCGGCGTGCGCGGAACGCGGGAACGTCAATCCGGAACAAAGACAAAGACGGGCCTCGGCGGGGCCAGTCTCGACCGCCGATTCGATTATACCTCGTAGGGGGATCGTCCGTAGCCGGGACGACACGCGTACCGCCCGTTTTTCCCAGAGTGCCGCGAACAAAAGAGATCAACGGCGGGATCTCGGGGGGCTAGGTTAACGAGAGACACGATGGTAGAGTTAAAAAAAAATTACAATATGGCTGTCTGGCATAGGTCTGGAGCGGAACAACAATATCCGTGGATACATACACACGCGCGTATAACCGAGAATGAGACATACAGGCGCGAAACATATACGCACGCACGCACATACACGTCAAGTCACATTACACACACACACACATATATATATATATATATATTATACACGAATATAAAGGCACGAACTCGCGCCGTACACTCCTCCCTAACGACACGACGCTATTAAGTTCGTTTGCGTTGCTTGAAATCTTCAAAAATGTTGCACTCCAGACGAATATATTGCAAGTTCGAAACGTCAAAAGGAAGAAAAGCGAAGGTTCTTGAAGAATGTTAAAAGTGCAAGCAACAGACTTATTATTACTCCATAAAGGAGTAAAATAATGTTTCTTGAAACGAGGAGAAATCTACAAAAGGGTGTGAACTTACCAGAATATAAAAAATTTCGTTGGTCAACGTCTTTTGTATAGATTTTATCTTGTTTCAAGATATACCCGATCAATCTCCAAGAATCACGTTAGAAAACATCCCGAAGTTGTATTCTCCAAAAATTTCACATAAAAATGCATGTTAATTTTTTCAGAGTATATTTCAATAACTCTAAGAATTGGAAAAAGATGAGAAGTAAATTGAACCGAGATTAAAATTCAACCGCATTGTGAGAGAAACGGGCATTAGTGAGATTCTACTCCAAGAATTTAGAGAGTATATTACAAATTTCCCTGCTCTCTAAATTTTATGGAGTAGTGGATTCTCACGCCAGAGAGAGAGAGAAAATCGAACCAGTTTCGTTCAAACGAGCGGCTCGATTTTCAATCTTTAAGAGCGAGAGGTCATTGTAAAAATTTCGGAGAGTAATACTTTCATGTACACATTTTTCGAGAATAAGACTCCCGGAGCTACTCCTCGAACGCGATCGACACCGGTCGACTAATCGATCGGCAAATCGGGCGAGGATGGGCGCCGCCGGTTGAAAAATCGTCCGTAGACGCGGTGCGCGCGTGTGACAAACTCGCCGTATATAGGTATACGTACACATAGCCGGATGCACGCGCTTTCGTGGAGGCGGACAAGCGAGAGCAGGCGGGCAGACGAACAGACAGACGGGAGGCGTGCACGCACACACTCACTCACACGGTCACTCACTCGCTCACTCATTCGTTCGCTCCCTCCCTCGCTCGCTCGCTCGCTCAAGTATTCTACTACTTAGACACTCACTCGTTCGGCAAAAGTAGACAGAATAAAGAAGAAAAAGCGAGGCGTCTCTTTGGGTATCGCCGCCTCCGGTGACGACGCGGTGCGACAATAGCAATGACACTCGTTACCCGTATTACGATCACGTGTCAATCGTCGCAGTTCGTCGAACAGACGGACGGACGAATCGCTATACGAATGGAAATGTCGTCGCTCGCGACACAAACGAGAGAGCCGGGTGTTCGCGTTTTATCCGAAATGCGTTCCCACGGCGTGGAGTAAAAACGTAATCTCTGCGGGAGAGATGACACACACCCTCGTCGTCACCCCCCACAGAAACGCCTCGAGGCTCCTCCGAAATTTCACCATTCGTAGACGTACATACACTCGCGCGTACGGTTCCTTTTCACGCGGTTCCTCTCTCCCACGGGGACGCCGCGAGCAGCCGCGAGCGTCGTGCCTTCGTTTCTCTCTCGCTGGGGAAAAGCGACGCAGAACGCCACGCGCCGCACCGCGCCTCGACTTTATAGAGTTTTCGACGTTCGACCGCCTTAACGATTTCAACTAAACACCGCACTCACGGGTGAGGGTCCCCAGGTAGCCGCCACCTCCTTTCAGAAGTATTCCGTCTTTCGGAACAGTTCGGGAGAGAACAGGAATCCCTTAAGAAAACATTCGGCCGTCGAGATTTACACTAGAGGGGAGTCCAACACAGGAAGAAGGAGATGGGGGGGGGGAAGGTGAGAAGAAATGGAAGAGGGGATATAAGACTGGGGGTGAAGGGAGAAGGGGGAATATCCGCGTTAGTCTCTCTCTCTCTCTCTCCCTCTTTTTATATATACGCGTATATACGTGGGGTAGCGCACACTAGCGCGATTGACGTGTGCCTGAGAACCGCTGCTCTGTATATACGACGCTATAGAGGCTAGAGATTCCGGGGAAGAGTGAGAGAACGGCAAGATACCCCCGGGGAAAAAAGAATCTTAGAGCGGCGCGGAGGACCAACCGGCGGGGACCGTCTCGCACCTCCCCCGCGATGATCGATACTTACTCGATCTATAGCCGGGCTTGCTTGGAACCGTCACACCACGTTACCGATGCCTCCTCTCGACGCCGACGGTGGAGTTCCCAGGCGGCGCACTCTACTCGTAAAAAGTGTCGCCAGAATTAAGCTATAGCGTGTCGCGATGCCCCTCTAACGCGCATCCGTAGCCGCGCAGAGCGAAACTTGCGCCGATCTTGGCCTATACGATTGAATCCACGGCGGATTTCCCTTTCTTTAAGACGGGATACTTCCTGGGATTTCTCCGCGCCGACGGCGACCAACGGCGACCGACGGACAGATCGCGGATCAGTGAACCTCACTCTCTTTCCCCCTTGACGCGATCTCCAGCGATCTCCCGCTGTCACTGGTCGTTTTACGCGCGAGCGAGACTGCCGAGACCAGCGGAACCGCCGGAACTTGCGGAACGTCGCGAGCGACTTCATGGAAACTGCTCGAACGATATTCATATGTATCGCGCGTAATATCAAGTCTGTTCTCTTTCAATTACTTTGACTTTCTGAGCTCTAAGCAGCTCCGAAGCTTCGAGAAGGACGCTAAACGCCATTTGTGTCATTCCCGCTTCCGACACCGGTATTCGTATTCTTATAACTTGGCCACCGTCTTAAATCAGTCTTGAGATGTAAGCCCGATTTATGCTCCGGTCTTAACCCTAAAATCCTAAAATTCAGCCAATGGAACAGATTTCGATTAGGACTGACAAGTCTTATTGGCTGAATTTTAGGATTAAGACTCGAAGCATAAACTCAGCCCCACAGATAGACCGGTATTCATATAAGGCGTGTTCGAGGAGGCAACTACTAGCGCTATTTGTGTCATTCTGTCAATTCTGTCTTCGTCGTTTATTGGATAAAGTGACAGATCTCGCAAATACCGTCCTCCCGAACATACCTAAGTTATGTTCAAATTCCCACTTGAGTGCCACTCAGATATCACTCTGGGCCAATTTTTTTTATCTTTTGATAAAGTTTACCTGTTAGGTATAAGTAGTAAGATTACTCAATCACGTGCACGAATTGCCAGATTTATCTGACAGGTAAGCTTTAACCGAAAGATGGACAATCCCTCTATCTTGGCTGCGTTCGGAAATATCACCCAGGTTTCCCCGAGTACCATCTTATCCTTGTTATTCACTCAATGTTAAACAAGAATTAGACGGTACTTGGTAATATTTTCGAACGGAGCCCTATTAATTGCTTACCGAACGTTAAACAAGGATAACACGACACCCGGACAGCATCCGAGTGGGAATCTGAACACGCCCCTACAGTTGATTCTTATATTTTATTTTTAAGTATACTGCAGTCCAGAAGACGAATTAGTATCTTAAAACATTAGATACTTATTAAGATTCAAGACGATCTTGAAATAAAAGCCAACTATTGAATATATCGGTCTCTGACCTATTTGTAATCTAAGGAATGATAATGATAGAATATGACACAAAAAAGCACTTTCCCACGTTATCGATCTTTTCTATCTTCATTCCTTTTTTCTAGTCGCCGTTCTGAGTGAGAGAATGCGCAATTTTTGTGTCTACGTTAGAATGAAACAAATTATACCTCACTTTAACTTATTGTGTACATCAGTTCAAAATTCGAGATGAAAAAAGAACAGACCTTTGTTCTACGGGAGCAGTAGTGGATTTACATATTTTTTACATCCTAGGTCCTGTGCTCATCCTTGGGAACTCTTTATTGAAGCTGCGTTTCAAATTCACTACCTGCGCTGAATATCTATACAGTTTATGTTATGTATATTATACATTTTCAGCACTGACGTGGCTGTGAATTTTAGAACACAGTTCCCCTATGACCTACTTGGACTCTTTTAGATGAATGAACAATAAAAACAAGTTAGCTTAACCGTTGAAAGATATCACTTTTCCGCTAAAGCGTTAAAATTTTATTTTTATACGTCAAAGCATTTCAAGATGCCTCATTGACGGAAATGCTTCACATCTATAAGCAACCCTACATAAATAAAAAATTAATTTTGCTTCCTAGAAGGATAATACTCCTATAAAAGGATAGCACTTCTAAGCGTGGATCACCGAACCATTGGACCTCGCGGGCCTTTGTTTAAATCCGTCACTGCACGCGAGGATAAACAATATATATAAATACAGAAAGATAAACGTTAAACGTAATGAAAAGCTTAAGCTGTGTAAAAGCTTAAAAAATATTTAGAGAAACCGAAAAGATCCATTTGTTTTGTATGACAAAAATCCCGTGAGAAATCTGCGAAATATAATATAATATAGATTTCTCCGTTCGGGAAAAAATTTCAGATTTCTTGTTATAAAAAGATTAATTTCGTTGCGAAGCACAAGACAATGTTTAATAATGTTAAAGATAACTCGTTTTTTTAATTAGCTATCATGAGCTTTACATTCGTTTTTTTGCAAGTAGACATGTTACATCTTTTATACTCGAAAATAAAATATATCTATGTGTAATTATTAAACTTGTATCAAACTACGTAATGAAGATTAAAGATTGCGAATTAAAAATTCAAACTTAATAAGTAATTTAATTTTAATTTGTTTCATTCTGATTAATCAAATTTTGATTTGGAACTCGCAATCCACTGCAGTCCGTAATTTAAATAATCGCTATTTTGAAGATTAAGATTTTATTGAAATTTGATCAGCAGAATAAAAAGAGAAAATATTTTTTTATTCCGATTAGTTAAATTCCATGCAATCTTCATCTTTAATGGCATATCAGTAATTCGATACAAAAAAGCTGTAAACATAATTAGGAGAAGAAATTTAAGAGAAAAATAAGAAAAGTGCAAAAAATTTAGATAAAAGCAAATCTTTTGTGCTTATCTGATCCGTCTTTATATACTTATAGATATAAACAGCACTTTCAGCCTAAATAAGTTATTTGCTCTAATCTGGGTTCGATTAATGATGTTATTGTATGAAGAACTGAGCATGTATTTGAAATATTTTTACATAAAACACAATTTTTACAATCCAAATGTATTTTATATTTTGTATTTCAGCGGTGCATATGAAAGTTACGTATTTTGTATTTAAAATTAAAAAAAATTAAAAGTTTTATATAGTTTACAATTTAAATACTAAGATTAATCTTAGTATTTGAATATTGTATTGAATAAGTACTTTATATTTTGAATTGAATGCAAAAAAATAAAATATAAACATTTTCATGCGCTCCGTTAAAATACAAAATACAATTGTCTTACAAATACTATATTTTTCTAATAAAAGGGCAAAAACCAATCATATTAAAAATTCTTATTATAGTTGTTTTTTTACATCCATTGTTAGAGGGAAAATCTGTACGATTAGTTGAATTATTGTACATATTCGAATCTGATTGGTCAAGCACACCAGATAAATATACCAACAGCCACTATATTGAGTAAGCTTTGTTTTGATTAACGAAAATTTATAGTGATAAACTTTATCTAATCAAGGAAAACGTAAACTATGTTAAATTGCGTCAATAATAAATCGCGGATTATTAAATAAAAAGAAACTTCTTTATTAATTAACCGATAAAATTTAAAAAATTTGAAATTGTAGCTCAATTCAATTCCATGAATCTTCTGTGTAACAATTCAAAAATGTTATCCTTCGAATTGCTGACAAATGCCAATCTGGTGGAATTCAAAAAATTTCAATTTTGAAATCATAATTTCATCACGGCGCATATCTGTGAATAAAATAGGTTCCGCGCCACGTAAAATAATGAAATTTCGAATTATTCCAGCGTGCCGACAGATGGCGCGCTAATCGATCCCGCTACCGGCGCTATCTCGCGTTATTCCGTATTCATCTGTCATTGTTGTTGCTTTTTGATCAATTGACTGCGTTCGAATTGCCGGCGATCTCGATATATTCCAGGGTAAACGGATACTCCAATTAAAATCAACTTGGCGCGTAGTTATGTCGAAGATAACAGGTTACGACACGCACGATGACGGTCCAGGATTCGTGGGCATCAGATTTTGCCAGGAATGTAATAACATGTTGTATCCGAAAGAGGATAAAGAGAACAAAGTACTCATGTACGCGGTGAGTATATATGACTGTTCCTAACGACGGAATCCCTTTAATATCATAAATAAAAGAAGAAAAAAAGAAAGAAAAAAAACACTGTGGTGTTTTAAATTGCACGACGGCGTAAATCATGTGAGGAGGAATTGTAATACCAAGAAATTGCCTGTTTCAGTGCAGAAATTGCGATTTTAAGCAACTGGCGGACAGCAATTGCATCTACGTGAACAAGATCATGCACGAGATAGAGTGAGTTGAAAATAAGTAGCTCAAAGTTAATTAACATTTATGTAAACATTGTTAAATATTAGAACAATTTCCACCAAGATTTTCATGAACACTCTAAAACTAATAAGAGAGAAACATTATATCAATATTATCATTTCCCACTCAACATTACAAGTATAACAGTTATTAACAATAAGTAACAGTTACATATTATTGAGTAGAAAATCATAACATTAATGTAATGTTACTGGTATTTTTACTTTGTTCTTTTTCAAAGAAAGTTCTGTACTGGTGTATATTAATGTAATAAGTTGGAGTGAAACTACATTCGTTTTACTTAAACTTATTTGTTATATGTTACATAAACATATTATTTCTTATAAATTGAAGCAAAACTACATTTGTTTCATTCCAACTTATTGTATCAGAACTAGTTCAGAATTCTATTTGAAAAATAACAAATCTTAAAATTTAACATGTGCAGAAAGTGGAATGTATCATTTTGTGCACTAGTATCTGTTATACAAAATGATACTGCTTTGTGTGGCGAGCCATAAGCTCATTGCAAAGCTCAAGAGAGTTTGTGAAATTAATTTAGGACCTCTAATCATATTCCAATCACGTTTGAATCGTGCGCTCACCGCTTATCGCTTTTTTTTTCAGTGAATTAACTCACATCGTCGCCGATGTGATATCGGATCCTACATTGCCGAGAACAGAGGAACATCCATGCCCAAAGTGCAATCACAGAGAAGCCGTATTTTTCCAGGCGCAAACTAGACGGGCTGAAGAGGAAATGAGATTGTATTATGTATGTACGAATCAGCACTGCTCTCACAGATGGACGGAGTGAAACTCATATGGCATACGAACGTCCGGTGTACCTTTATTCTTCTACTTGCTATTTGTAACTTATAGTTCTTGTAATCTTGTAAATTGTACAAAGTTGTGTATGTGTTGTGCTCAGAGGGGATGCATTGTAATGAGTAAAACATGAATAAAAATTATACATAATAAAAGTAATGAAGAGAAAGAACGTTCGTGCACAAGGGGATTATGAATTACCGTAAGGCTCAACGCTCGGCTCGCAATCTTTACTCTCTTGCTGAGCATTTATCCCTCCGGCCGCTGAAGCACGCGGTTGGCTTTACGGACCGGGGAGCCGTCTTTTGCGAGTCGTGTTTCCTAGCCTCAGCGTTTTACGGGGCTACGTCGTGCAATCGCGACACATCTCTCCAGAGCGCGTTATCATGGCTTTTCGCGAGGGCAGATTTTGGGTGGCATCGCGTGACAGGAGGCTTTCGTCGAAGAATCGGAGTATCTTCGTCGAATTTATCCTGTCGATCGTTCCATCATCGTGAGGAGGTGGATGAACGCGTTGCGAATTCGCGACTTAGCCACGACCTGTAGACACCCTGGAAGCCCTGGAACTACTCCCAGATGTTTATCAGAGCCATGCACAGCCATACTGAATTCACTCGCTATACGCAGCCTGGGCAATGCCGCAGCCCGCAGGTAGCTCCCTGTGTCACGTGATCGTTTATATAATCATAGGTTTCTTTCACCATTATATCTCACTTGTTATAAGCTGGGTTTCAAAATAACGTAAAGCATATATATATTTTTAGTGCTGGAAGTAAATTTGAAGTACAATAGCCTATATCAAGAGATGTGTTTAGGTTCCAACCCGGCGCTTTCGTGTCATGTTATCCTTGTTTAACATATTCGGTAAACAACAAAGATGGAATGATGTCTAGATGGCACTCATGGGAATATAGCCAAGGACGACTGGATCAATTCGTGCCATTAGGGTGTATTTTATTTGTTTAACACTCACAACGCTCATTCAATTATTTCATCCTTATTTATCAATGCCCGTTTTTACCAGATTAACTTTAATCTCAGTTTAACTTACTCTTCGTCATTTTTTAATTCTTGGAATTAAAAAAAGATCATAAACCTTCACTGGGTTATGTTTAGATTCGAATGTTACCCTGTAGATATATCATTTTATAATTTATGTATTTATCGACATTCACAGTCGATTCTTATATTTAAGACCGTTTTAATTAAAATCTTAAAATATTATGAACCATAATCAAAGAATCGTATTATATAGCATCTCGAAACATTTATTATTTAAAAGTAAGATGGTCTTGAAATAAGAATACACTATCAATACCGGCCTGTACCGGTTTATCTTTATTTTTCACTGAATGTTAAACAAAGATAAAAGGTACAATCTATTAATGCTGCAAATTTTTCGTTGATCAATCAGAAGAAAGAATTTTATGAATTGACCAATCAAAGAATCCGAGAAACATGTGGGATGGAAATCTGAATGTAGCCTTGAGTGCATCTAATAAGTAGCATTTTAATAGACAAATATTTTGAAAATATGCAATTTTATTAAAAAAACATTGCAAATATATAATAATTTTGTATAATATACAGAGACATCACCATTGTATATTTAACTTTTATTATATAAATATAACATTGTAACTCTCTTTTATTTGGAGTATTTTTTTTATTATATTTTCAAAAAATTTGCCTGTAAAGACGATAAAATAAATTACTCTTGTAATAAATCAGGGTTAGCCAACCTTTATATTTGACACGTTAGACAAGAAGGTTGGCTACCCCTGATCCGTGTATACAAATAATTATATATATGACATTCTGATAGCAGCACGTTATCAATGTAATTATGATAAATATTATCGGTAGCGATAAGTTGTTTGCATAAAGTAACAAAAGCGGCAAATAAATACATGAATTCGTTGTACCTAAGTAGATTAAAGCAAGTGATGCGAATGAATCATGGGGCTACATATAGGATCACTAATACTTGGAGTAATAATACTCCAACAAGGAATATCCCTTAAAGTACATTCACCACATGTCGGTAAGAATTAATTTTTCATTTCAATGCGCCGCTTAATAATTTACAAAAGATTTTAATTTGTTATTCTATTTGATTTTTTCTCTTTTAGCCATTATAGGGGGTGGTATCGGCGGTGCGGTCACCTCACATTTTCTCACTGAGTTGTTTAACGAATCTGTAAAAATCGACTTGTATGAGCCGAAGACTATCGGCGGACGATTGGCGACCATTAAGATTGATGAAGATGAAATCGAAGCTGGTGGTTCGATTATACATTCAAAAAATATGTATATGCAGAGATTTGTTAAACTCTTGGGTAAGTATATAGACAGCGACTTTCTTAGCTTTCCTTAGCTCAGATATACTAGTTGCACTTATTAGTTATTTATCTTTTTCTAATTCTTGGGACTGTGTTTATTTCTGTCAATGTAAGATAATTTTAATCTTGGTATAACTTACTTTTTTTATCTTTTTTTAGTCCTAAGAAATAGAAAAAGATAAAGAATAAATGAAACCAAGATTAAAATTAATATATAGTAGTAGAAATAGGTCCTAAAGATAAAAAGTAAGTTAAACTAATTGTAAGATTAAAGTTATAGTGTACATTGAGAGAAATAAACAAGAAACATTATTGACCAGTTTTTATGGGTCTTTATAGGTTTGGAAAAGAATCCTTCTAGTGCTGGAACGTTTGGCATATGGAACGGAGATGAGTTTATATTCAAAGCAAGTGATTGGTCTGCAGTATCGTTGATGAAATTATTTTATAGATATGGCTTTCAGTTGTATAATCTCAAGAGGTATTTAAAAATTATGTGATATAAAGTATAAGAGAGAGAGAGAGAAGAGAAAAAGTAACATTATAATCTTTCTTTGAACAGTCTTATAAGCAATATGGTAGAAGATTTTGTGAAGATATATGATCTGCAGGATGCAGGACAATCCTTTGCCAATGTCACTGCACTGTTATCAGCTATGAATAAGGATTTCCTGAAATTATTGAAAACGTCCACGAAAGAATATCTTTTGCATAATGGTTGCACAGAGAAAATGATCAATGAATTAGTGCAAGCCGCTATCGTAGTGAATTATGGTCAGGAAGTCGATATCCAAAGTTTTGTTGGTTCCATAGCTGTGGCTGGGACAGATGGTGAATTATGGTCTATTAAAGGTGGAAATAAAGGGGTAATATATATTATTAACTTATTCTTCATTCTAATTACTCACAAAAAATATATGAAATACGTGTTGAAATTTTAGGTACCCGAGCATCTCATTTATAGAAATAAGAAAGTAAATGTAGTACCAAGCCGTGTTACAAAGATTCGCAATTTAGTAAACGATTATGATTCAAGTCAATACGAAGTGACCTACATAAATAAAGGTGCGCTAAGTAAAATCTGCTTGAGAGTAAGACATGTATAAAGTAACGAAAAATAGCATGCAATTATGCATTTCAGGTAGCACTGATCCAATGACGTCTAACTACGACATCGTAATTATCGCCGCACCACTTACTAGCGATCAAGAATTTCAAATAGAATTTGCGGAGTTTCCAGATAACTTGGTGTTTCCAGGAAAATATCAGACAACGTATGCGACGTTTATCAAAGCGGATCTTAAGCCGAAGTACTTTGGCTTACAAGAACCTTTGGATGGGATTCTAAGTTGCAATCCCAACAAAACAACGATCAGTTCGGTCGGAAAAGTGGGTCCTGTTGATGGTTCAATTAGGAAAGATCCACAAGTTTGGAAGGTTTTTAGCAGAAAACCTCTAGAGTCAAGTCTTATACACGATATGTTTTCTAAGGTATGATATTTACTGTAATTGTTTCGCGTAAGTAAAAGTAAAACTGATATACATATTATTTTTTTTTATATTAAGGTCATCGAGAAAAAGGAAATTGCTTGGAAAGCATATCCCCGTTACTCGACAAAGATGAACTTTAATAATTTCAAACTGCATGATGCGCTCTATTATGTTAATGCAATAGAATGGGCTGGAAGTACAATGGAAATGAGTGCAATAGCTGGAAGAAACGTCGCTATTTTGACATACAATGATTTTATTCAGAAATTTCCTAATTCTATACTCACATCTAAAGATTCTAAAGATACATTTAAAAAATTATGTTCTGAGGATTTATAATGATATTTTTACTATTAATATTAGATATTAACAGATTTTATACAGACATGAGAGTATTTTTAATAGCACATAAGTACAATATTTTGTGTGTAAAAGAAAGTACACAAAATTCTGTAAAAGAAGTTACAAAATAAACCAAAAATAACGTTCGAAGATTACTGAGTCAAATAATTTGATAAAAGTAATTGCGTAAAAAAAAAACAAAAAATATTTCATTATCATTATCTATATATATACAGATGTGACTTATTTATCAACATATTTGTCCAGTAAGTTATTTCTGTTTGTCTTATATCTAATAATCTACAATAGAATCCGTATTTTTTTTCATTATAAATATATAATGATAAAATAATTTGTAATGTCACTACAATTATTCTCTCATATTTCAATATACGAAATACACATTTTTTTAGTTATTTTCCAGATAGCAATGCCTATATATTATCTTTTAGATATCTTTAAAACATACAACGTACATATTGTCTGGTCCTACATGTCATTTAAAATTTTATGTTCAATTTATTTTTTGTAAATTTTTGCGTTGTATTTTTTTTTTCCATATATTTTACAAGCCTTTCAGAAAGTGTAGGGAGTGTGGATGGTGCAAGAAAAGCCGATAAAAATGTTGGGTTGAAAGTGCAGGTAGGTCAAAGTAGGTATCGTAAGGAGAGTAATGCATCTCGAGAAGTGTGAATTGTGAAAGGAAGAAAAAAAACATAAATAAAGAAGAGACCAATTGTCATGCGAAAACAGAAACAACGACAAACACCGGTCGACCGTGACTGGTTCGACCGATCGCCGACGTTGAAAAACCGCGGCGCGATCTGATCAGCGTGAACATTGACCTAATCTAACCTAACTGGCAAGAGCGCCAAGGGCAGAAAAAGTTTCTCCAGGCAGCGTGAAAAATGTGATTTCTCGCGCCTCGCAAATCACGGCGAGTCTCGCGTTTACGCGAGGACTGCAGAGGAAGGGAGCGGACGAGAAATGGAGAACTACTCCGTGCGCATCAATTATCCGCAGGCCACCCGTGGAGATGTTGCCGACGAGTCGCCCGCCTTCCACGATGCCCAACCGAAGCAGCACGCGGATCACGTCAAAAAACGAGAGGACGTGATCGTTTTGGCAAGCGACACGAAGGGCGGTCTGTTTAATCCTAGAGCTCTCCTCTTTCTTACCTTGTGGTACGTCTTCAGTGGATGCACATTGTTTCTAAACAAATACATACTGTCCTACATGGAGGGTGATCCCACAATATTGGGTAAGAAAACGACTATTTTGAAGCCTCATCTATTATTTAAAAGCAATATCGTTGAATTATAGCTATCTCTGTGTAAAAATGAAAAGTTCATAATGAGTCATCAAAGAATGTCTCTTCCATTAATGACATAAGCTGGCACAATTATCATTCTGCCTTTGTTATTCGTGGAATGTAAAGAAAGGTAGAACATTTATGTCAATTTGTGTCTCTAAACTAAGATTTAGCAGATTATTTTCTTCTAAACTTCAAAAAAATAATTCAGTCAGAACGAAGGAAACTTCCAACAATTACAAAATAAACATTATACTGAACACAACTGTCCTAGCATAGCAAATCATTTCAGTTTTGTTTAACACTGATAAATAACAATACTGAAATGATTCACTATGTCAACTAAGTCTCTTCCTAGAAAATGTCTAACAGTATTCTTTATCAATACAATAATAAAACATTATCAAATACCTGAGATATTAGCTGTTAGTGTTTTACATAATATTTTTCATTTTTCTTATTAGATATATATTTTTCATAAATACTTATTTTGAATTGCAGGTGCTTGTCAAATGTTGATGACTGCAATTTGTGGATTGATACAAATGTACTTTCCATGTGGTATGTACAAAGCTAGTCCAAGGTTGATGAGACCTCCAGGATTTTACAAACACATGACACTCGTAGGCTGCACGAGATTCGCCACAGTAGTCTTAGGTCTAGTATCATTAAATTATGTAGCTGTAAGTTTCACAGAAACCATAAAAAGTAGCGCACCTCTTTTCACCGTCCTCATCAGCAGGTATTTATTAGGTGAGTATTTTTTAGTGTATCTTTGTATCAAATATAATTTATGATAAATTATTCAGCATTTAATAATTAGTTGGGAGATATTAAATATTGAAATTCTTCATATCAACTTATTGTATTTTAGGGGAACATACAGGATTATATGTAAATCTATCTTTAATACCTGTAATGGGTGGGTTGGCACTGTGTTCCATCAATGAAATCAGTTTTGATCTTAGAGGGTTCATCGCCGCTATGGCCACAAACGTAACAGAATGTTTGCAAAATGTTTACTCAAAAATGTTGATCAGCGGGGACAATTTTAAATATACGTAAGTAATTTAACTCGTACGAGTGCGTGTAACATTGTAAAAGAGAAAAAAGAATATTCTATTTTTTTTAGGCCAGCGGAATTACAATTTTATACCAGTTTAGCATCAATTGTGGTACAAATACCGGTATCGATACTGTTAGTCGATCTACCTACTTTGGAGCATTCCCTGAGTTTTAAATTATTCGCAGCATTCCTTCTCAACGGTATATTCTTCCATTTTCAAAGTATTACCGCTTATGTACTTATGGACTATATCAGTCCTGTGACACACAGGTATGTAAGCCTTGAGCATGTAATTAAATTATTCTCCTCTTGATTCTAAAGCATAGTATTCATGTTGTAGTGTTGCTAATACCGCAAAGAGAGCTTTCTTAATATGGCTCTCTGTTCTATTATTTAATAATCCTGTGACGGGATTATCCGCCCTCGGCACTTCCTCAGTTATAGTAGGAGTACTGCTGTACAATCGGGCGCAGGAATACGATAGGATAAATAGAACGAAGAGGATACCATATTCATCGAAGATCAATTTGCAATAGGACAATTTTCCAATCTGTAAAGATTTCATATATACAGGAGAACAAATGTGTGTCACAAATGTGAGAACAAATCACTGCATCGAATGTATTGGGAGTGAGGAGTACAAACGATACTCAGTTTCTTTCACAGCAGTATTCTGTGGAAACACAAAAATAGTACGTATTTATAACATCAAGACGAAGGACAATCAATAAAAAAATTTGTTTTTGGAATTTAATAATTTCCAGTGAACTTTTGTGATATGTTAAGAACAATTAGTTTGATCTCATTTGCAAATTGTAATGTAAAGACATTAATAATTAAATATTGCTATGAACTGTAATTTATTTTATTGTTGAACTTGAAAATACATTTATTCGCACATTCAAAAATGCCTGGCACGTATGGTAAACTAAAAGAAATCAAGACGTATGCGTTAAAAAGTATCTGATTACTGTATTATACAAGCGTTCCTAATGTAAATGTGAGAATTGTGGAATGTAAAAAATTTTATAAAAATAAAATTTCTTTATATCTACTGATATAGCCGGCAATGTTCTATGAAGATTTATGACAATGCAGAAGTTTGATAATATTTGTAAGACAATTAGTGCAAATTAGAATACTTGTTATTGAATTACTTTTGCGGCTGTTCGATTATATTTTATTAATTTATTGACAAGCGTTCAATGCTTGTTCGAGATCGGCTATGAGATCATCTTCAGTTTCAAGACCAACAGATAATCGAATCAATTGATCAGTTATGCCTAATTTGGTTCGCATATTTTCCGGTACGGACGAGTGCGTCATTACGGATCTAAATGACAAGAGAATGACATGATAAGTTAAAAATATATTTTAAAAAATACATATTCTTGGAATATATACTTACGGTAATTCTGCTAGCGATTCGTAACCACCTAACGATTCAGCTAAAGTGAAAACCTTCAATGCTTGCAAAAAACGGTTAGAATCGCCTTTTAGATAGAAAGAAACCATTCCGCTATGTCCTGTTTGTTGCGTAAGCGCGAGCTGATGTTGCGGATGCGATGAGAAAACTGCAATATAACAATACGTGCATTTTTATCTTGCAAACGTTTCATTATCATAATAATTATTCAAATGATTAATTTTATATGCTTTTATTTTAAAAACATACCAGATAAGGAGAATAAAAAATTGTACGATTACATACGTGGATGAATCACTTTCTCGACGTTAGGATGAGAATTGAGAAACTTTGCTACGGCTAAGCCATTGTTCATGTGTTTCTGCATTCTTAGTTCGAGCGTTTTCAAGCTACGATTCACCAAAGCACAGTCAAATGGCGATGGAACAATTCCCATGGCTAAATTGAAAAGGAAAATGTTATATAAAAACTACAAATGTGCACGATACGAAAATACTCTTGTTGATTTACAATTTTGATTAAACTGCAATTTCTGCGCGAGATCGTCTCGGCACGTTATTGCGGCACCCATAATCACATCCGAATGGCCATTCATGTACTTTGTCAAGGAATACATTACTATGTCAGCACCAAGATCAAGAGGTTTCTGTTTTAAAAGCGTGATATATTGACTGCAGTTTCTTTCACATCGACTTCGTACGATTGAATAAAATTTGTCTCATAATTACGTCAAACTTACTTGGAAGTAACATGTCAAAAACGTATTATCAACGACTAATATAATGTCTGGACGAGATTTTAAATTCTCAGCAACAGCCTTTATATCTACTAGTTTCATCAAAGGATTCGTCGGCGTCTCTAGCCATACCATCTACAATAGAACAAATTATAATACAAAAAATACTAATATGAAATTAAAATACATAATATTTAAAATACAAAATATCAAATCTACATAGTGTTAATAACAATATTTTTAGTTTTTTTTTTATTTACCTTTGTATTTGGTTGTATAGCGTCTATAACGTTTTGTATATCAGTCATGTCAACGAAAGTATATTTCACGCCTTGTTTGCTACTACATTTCTGTATATAACGATTGGTTCCACCGTATAAATCATCTCCAACAACCAAATGATCTCCTGCTTCCAATAAACCTGTAATTGCAGTAAGGGCACCTAATCCAGAAGAAAAGCAAAAGGCATGTTTGCCATTCTCTAAAGCAGCCAGGCATGTCTCCAGAACATTACGCGTAGGATTGCCGCTTCTGCCGTACACATATTCCTACATGTGAAAGGAAACAATTAAAATTAAAATCATTATACAAGATTGTTGATTTTTTCCAATAATATATTTAAATTTACTTAGTTAATTTAAAAATAGTTTGTAATACTTATAAGTACTATTTTTATTCAAAAAGTATTTAAAAGTATTTCTACATTATGTTCAAAGAATATAAAGCTTTCTTTTTAAAGAATTGTGTACAAGTGAAGATAAGCAGACGCAATTAAATTGTTATTTGACCTACGAGAATTGTTCGATCTACGCGAATTTTTATTCAACCTTTGAACTGTAGATATACAGTAGAATTAGGAAATTGTTTAATAATTCATATAATATAGGCACTAAAGTGCAGTCTGAATGTACTTGCTGCTCCTTCATTTTTTATTTCTAGTATTCGTATAATGGTTTAATATGTATACAAAAATATAATACTTGCTGCCACAACCACATGTTTGACTCGTATTTTGTTTGTTAAATCGTCATTTATGTAGTTATTAAATTTTAATTATTCCTGAATCATTGGTTTTTCTTTTTTTGTTTAACTCTATTTCTTATCTGTTTCATTTACCTACTTTTCATCTACTTCATTTATCTGTTACTTATTTGTATCAATTTTTCCACAGGAACTATAATAATATAAATTACATAACATTTCACTTTATTCGTTTTGAACGATTTTGTTGACATTGAGCTTCAATAAGGAGCAGATTGTTATTGTTTAACATAAATTAATTTATAAAAAAATATTCTTTTTTTATAGCTAGTGTGTAACTTCAACTTTATTAATAGCCACAGAAACTTAATGCAATTTTTCTTGTTACAATTGACATTAATTGATTGAGTAACAAGGAGTAAATTGCTAGGAGCTATATATGGACGAATATTGATGAGTCAGAAGTTTAACACTTACTTTGGGCGGTGCTGGACGATCTTGTTTAAAAGTAGTAGACATTACCAAAGGTGGTACAACCGAGCCATGATTCCATTGATCAGGATCTTGTCCGGCATGGATAGCTATCGTCGCAAAACCTTTTTCCGTTGACGTCATTGTCTAATCAGTAAAAAAATGTGTGAATATTACTTAAGAATATAATTTATAAATTATAATAATAAATTATATTATTAATTTGCTGTAATGAATAAGAATATTATTTGATAAAGTTCCTGTTTAGGAGATTCTGTATACATCCAGGTCAAAGTGATATGAACGGCATCCCCTAAACAAAAGTTTTATCTATATCGTTGTATAATATATACTTGTTATTAATATATTTATTAGTGTAAGTATAATAACGTTTGGCATGCATAATTTTAATTTTTGAATTTTTATCAAAGATTTATTGCATTTTACTTTTTCTGACATTTTTTACGTCGTTATAAATGCAAATTGTATCGTACCGTGTTGTGCAATCTTTCATCACACAGCATAATAAGAAATAGAATTAATTGGAATTAACATAGGCTGCGTTCAGCAGAAAAAGCAGATTTGCAAGTGTTGTAAAATCCTTGAATATGAATGGTATACATTTAGGTCCAATAAGGAACTAAGAGCAAGATCAATCATATTAATGAATTTTAAAACAGCGGCAAATAAGCTGTTTTTTCTGCTAAACGCAATCATTATTCCAACAGTCTATTTATACTGAACAACGCACACGATAACAACTTGCAACTTAAGAGATAACATAGTTTTGTGAAAAGTGAGATGTGCGATAAAAATTCGATAAAATTAAAAAAATTAAAATTGTCAAATTTAAGTCAAGAGACAAAATCTTTGCAATTGTTTTAGAACGTTAAGAAAAGAAAGAAAAGTAGTTATTTTCGCAGAGATCGCAGCTCTCTATAGAGCGTTCGTAGGATCATTTAAATTTAGTTGCGAGAGCATTATCTGTTCGAAATCCTCCTAAGTTACACTTTCTGCACTCGTCTCATTTGGACGTACCTGATTGCTTTGTAAAAAAATGTAACTGATTAAATGAACTAAACTCTTGGCAATAAACAATTCAAGTAATAAAATTGTCTTATCAGATGTTGATTTTACGAGAATCTACTTGAGGAGAGAGATTACTAGCGAAATTCATTTACCTTAATGTCGTTGCCGCTGAACTTCTGCTGAAACTGAAGTAACCTGACCGGCGACGAGCTACTTAAATAACTTGCAACGTTGTTAGCCGCGTGGCCGATAAAGGAGAAAAAGGACAGAATATTCTGCACTTTGGTGGGGCGTTGGTCTGTTCGTATTATTTGTATTTTTCTCACTCAACATCTCTATTCATCAACGCGGGTATACATATATTGATCTCATTTTAAGAGCGAAATTTTTTAGGATTTTAAGCACACAGTTATAACACTTGACGTAACGAATATCTCGATATATGCAAATATGAAGTAAGGATGTGCGATACGCGTCTCGAAATGCACGATGCATCTTTACGAAAAAAAAGACTTTTTATTTCCAAGAAAATAACAAAACTTCTTTAAAAGGACGATTTATAACCGATCATATTTTCGCAAAAAAAAGTCGTTTTTTCTCGTAACGAGTTTTAACATATGAGAAAAATATATGGAATATATAAATTCAAATCAATATTTTATATTAGGAATGTCCGATACGAGAAAATGTGCGATCGCACATCTATAAGATATGACATATGGATTTTAATTTCTAATTTACGTTTAAAACATATATATACGTATATTATTAGTATTATTACTAAAATGCATATTTTATTTACTACTATACATATATAACTACATTTATATTATATTAGCGATAAAAAAAGTTGAAGTATTTAAAATTTCAATAATCTTCCGCAATATATATATGCGTTATGCGAAAAATACGAAAATACGTATTTTCGTATTTTTCGCATAACGATATTGTGGAAGATTATTGAAATTTTAAATACTTCAACTTTTTTATCGCTATAATATAATATAAATGTAGTTAATCGACTAGGTTGTATATTGTACAATATACAACCTAGTCGATTCGACATTTGTCCCATTTTCATTTCTTATTTTGGGGAACATGGAACACGGAACGTTAAATATGAAACACGAAATGCGCAACACACACAATACACGCCACGTGTATGTACGTCACGTAATGTGGAATGTAAAAAGTGTAAGGAAACACAATATTACGATCGTGTGAATTCACTCCATGCATCTCAGGCGCGTCACACATTTCATTATACATATAGTTTCATCATTGACATACAAGTATCAACGACGCAGCTATATAATCTTACGTGCACATATCTGGTGATAGTTGAGCATCCATCGCATAAAATAAGTTTTGCTTACCATTATTTTGTAACATTGTAAAATATCGTTACGGATATTCTCAATTCAGTAATTTTTTGAGAGCTATATATTTTCATGTTGAATGCGGATTTTGTAATTTCTCATCTGTGCTAATTTTTCTTGCTAATTTTATCATATCGACGACAAAATTCATTATAACGAGCGACTTACATTATAGTAAGCTGTAATGCACAGACCATCTGATTATTAATTACCTATATAAAACATGCATTTTTTTCATTTATTGCAACTATCAAATTTATGGCAACAGATCTTACATTGTAATCATTGTCACTTTGATATAATGACTCGATAAGGATCAAAATATTTGTGATTTTAGTTTATTAAATAAGCGCAATTTTTTATTAAACATTTTGCTTGGCCCGTAATAGCCCTTACGTATTAGTATTTATACTGCATAATTTCATATATTATATATAATATATTTATTATTCTGTTTAATAATACAAGCCTGTTATTTAGTCGTTTATTGTTAAAATTTATTTTATTTTTAAATTTGGAAATACATTAATATTTATATTAAAAAATGCCTAACAATTATGATAAACAAATAAGTATCGGTATTGAAAAGTATTTGATTGCTGTGTTATCTCAGTGAAGTGATCGTTAATTTATAATGTCAAGTCGTCGTTAAAATCATCAATTGACATAGTTATTTCTCACTGGGAGAAAAGCATCTCTAATGTGTATGTGAGGACTGAAAAATATTTATATAAGAGAATTTCACGCAGAAACAATATTTCTTTATATCTACTGATAACAAAGTTCGACAAACATTTAACAATGTATATGGACACTTGATATTTTTCATAAGAGAAATTAGTACAAATTAGAATAACGGTCATTGAATTATTTTTCCGGTTATCAAATTACATTCATTCATTCATTAACAATTATCTAATGCTTGTTTGAGATCGGCTATGAGATCATCTTCACTTTCAAGACCAACAGATAATCGAATCAATTGATCAGTTATACCTAATTTTGTTCGCACATCTACTGGCACAGACTCGTGCGACAATAAGGATCTAAAATGAAAAAAATTAATTCAAATTGTTGTATATTTTTAAATAAACATTTTTTTCAATATACTTACGGGGATTCAGCTTGCGATTCGCAACCGCCTAAAGATCCAGAAAAAATGAACAGTTTCAATGCTTGCAAAAAACGCTTAGGATCGCCTTTCAGGTAGAAACAAACCATTCCACTATGCCCTGTTTGTTGCGTAAGCGCGAGCTGATGTTGCGGATGCGACGAGAAAACTGTAATAGACGTATGAGTGTTTTTATTGTAACACATTAGCATTACTTATTTTGACATTACTTATATATATGAATCTTTTTTTAAACACATACAAAATAAAGACAATGAAATCTTGTATGATTATTATACATACGTGGATGAATTATTTTCTCGACATTACAATGAGAATCGAGAAACTTGGCTACGGCTAAGGCATTTTTCATGTGTTTCTGCATTCTTAGTTCGAGCGTTTTCAAACCACGATTGACTAAGGCACAATCAAATGGCGATGGAACAATTCCCATGACTAAATTAAAAAAAAATGTTATATAAAGTCTTCAAATGTGACCCGAAAAAGCTCTTGTTTATTTACCAGTTTGGTTGAATCGCAGTTTCTGTGCGAGATCGTCTCGGCGCGTTATAGCGGCACCCATAATTACATCCGAATGGCCATTCATGTACTTTGTCAAGGAATACATCACTATGTCGGCACCAAGGTCAAGAGGTTTCTGTTTTAAAAGTACGATATATTGGTGCAATTTCTTTCACATTGACTTTGATCGATTGAGTAAAATTTTTCTCACAGTTATGTCAAACTTACTTGAAAGTAACATGTCAAAAATGTATTATCAACGACTAGTATAATGTCTGGACGAGACTTCAAACTTTCGGCAACAGCCTTTATATTTGTTAGTTTCAACGTAGGATTCGTCGGTGTCTCTAGCCATACCATCTACAATAGAACAAATTACAATATAAATGTGATAACAAGATACTGATATAAAATTAAAGACTTATATTTAAAATAAAAGATATGAAATTCTAATGTGTCAATAACAATATCTTTAATTTTTGTATTTACCTTTGTATTTGGCTGTATGGCATCTATGACGTTTTTTACATCAGTCATATCAACGAAGGTATGTTGCATGCCTTGTTTGCTAGTACATTTCTTGATATTACTAGTGCTACCACCGTAAAGCTCGTGTCCAACAATCAAATGATTTCCTGCCTCCAATAAACCTGTAATTGCAGTAAGGGCACCTAATCCAGAAGAAAAACAAAAGGCATGTTTGCCATTCTCTAAAGCAGCCAGACATGTCTCCAAAACATTGCGCGTAGGATTACCGCTTCTGCCATATATATATTTCTATATGTGGAAAGAAATAATTAAAATTATAGCGCTGTAATACAAGATTGTTGATTTTTTCCAATATATTCAAATTTACTTGGATTATTTAAAAATAGCATGTAAGACTTACAAGTACACTTTTTAATCAGAATTTAAAAGTATTTCTAAATTATATTCAAAAAATAAAGCTTTCATGTATTCTTTCTAAAGAATTGTGTACACGTGAAGATAAGTTATAGATGCAATTAAATTGTTATTGACCTACAAAAATTTTTTGATCTGTGCGAATTTTTATTCAACCTTTGAACTGCACATATATACAGTAAAACTGCGAAATTGTTTAATAATTCACATAATATTATTAGGCACTAAAGTGCAGTCTAAATTGTACTTGCTGCTTCTTGATTTATTTCTATTATTCGTATAATGGTTCCTCAAGTTAAAAAAAAAATTTTTTTAATTATATTAAATACTTGCAGTGTACAGAAATATAATATTTGCTTTGACAACTGCATTTTTGACTCACATTTTGTTCGTTAAATCGTTATTTATTTAGTTATTAAATTCTCAAGTCAATGCTTTTTCTTCCTTTATTTATCTGTTTGTTATGTTTTATTTATCTTTTCTTATCTGCTTCATTTATCTGTTATCTATTTCATTTTTCTGTCATTCTTTTATCAACTTCCCCACAGAAATTATCGCATATAATATTACATAACACTTCACTTTATTCGCTTATCTTGGTCGGTTTTGTTGACGATGAATTTCAACAAAAATAACAAACAAATTATTATTGTATAATACAAATTAATTTCTAAAAAAAAATTCTATTTTCATAGCTGGCGTAACTTCAACTTTATTAATAGCTACAGAAACTTAATGCAATTTTTCTTACTACAATTGACTTTAATTGATTGAGTAGAAGGAGTAAATAGCTAAGAGCTATATATGGATAAATTTTAATGAGTCTGGAAGTTTATAACACTTACTCTGGGCGGCGTTGGACTATCCTGTAAACTAAAAGTAGTAGACATTACCAAAGGTGGTATAACCGAGCCATGATTCCATTGATCAGAATCTTGCCCGGCATGGATAGCTATCGTCGCAAAACCTTTTTCCGTTGACGTCATTGTCTATTCAGCAAAAATGTGTAAATATTAATTAAAAATATAATTTATTATTAATTTGCTATAATTAATATAAGAATATTATTTTGTAAAAGACCTATTCAGGGGATTCTGTTCATATCACTATGACCTGGACATGTCAAAGTGATATAAAGGGATCCTAAACAGGACTTTTATCTATTTCGTTGTACAATACTTTTTATTAATATATTTATTAATATCAATAATATAATAATAACATTTGGCACTCGTAATTTTAATTTTTGAATTTTTATCAAAGATTTATTACATTTTATTTCTTTTATCATATTTACGTCGTTTTAAATGCAAATTGTTGTCGTACGTGCAGTGTAGTCCTTCGTCACACAGTATAAGAAATAGAATTAATTGGAATTAACATGAGCTGCGTTCAACAGAAAAATCAGCTTTGCAATTGTTGTAAAATTCTTGAATATGATATACATTTAGGTTCAATGAGGAACCAAAAGCAAGACTAATCATATTAATGAATTTTGAAAACAGCTGCAAAGCTGCTTTTTCTGCTGAATGCAACAATTATTCCAACATAATCTACATATTTATACTGAACAACGCGCCTACAACTTGCAACTTAAAAGATAACAGTTATGTGACCTAAACAGTGAGATGTGCAATAAAAATTCGATAAAATTAAAAAAATTAAAATTGTCAAAGTTAAATCAGAAGATAAAATCTTTGCAATTGTTTTAGAACGTTAAGAAAAGAAAGAAAAGTGTAGTTATTTCACAGAGATTGGAGCTCTCTAGAGCGTTCGTAGAATTTAAATTTAATTGCGAGAGCATTTTCTGTTCGGAATCCTCCTCAGCTACACTTGATACACTCGTCTCATTCGGACCTGGTTTCGTTTTAAAAAAAATGTAGCTAATTAAATGTAGCTAAATAAAGGAACTAAATTCTTAGCAATGAACAATTCAAATGATGAAATTGCCTTATCAGATGTCGATTTTACGAGAATCTACTTTGATCATGATCGAAATTCACTTACTTGAACGTCGTTACCGCTAAAAGTCTGTTGAAACTGAAGTACCTGACTGGCGACGAGCTACTTAAATAATTTGCAACGTTGTTAACCGCGTTGCTGATAAAAAAGAAAAAGGACAGAGTATTGTGCACTCTGGTGGGGCGTTGGTCTGTTCGTATTTGTAATTTGTGCATTCTGCAGCTCCACTTTCTTGCGGGCAATACCTAGCAAGAACCTCACTCCGCGCTCACTAATGCAAGCCTCATAGGACAGCGCACTTGCTAAAAGACCATCCCCACTCTTCATAAACAGCGCGCCAAACGTTTGGTGGCGAACGCGCTTATTTGACTATACTTAAAAATTCATATCTCGTTAACCATTGCGAAAATTGCAAAATAGTAGTGGACCTTTTAGTACACTTTAGTCAGCTCTATCTACACAAAGGCGATAGTAAAAAACTTACTTGACACCCTGTGTGTGTGTATATATATATATATATTTATATTATATTAGCGATAAAAAAGTTGAAGTATTTAAAATTTCAATAATCTTCCACAACACACACACACGTATTGCGAAAGATATGAAAATATAATACACAACTCTCTCAGTAAGAAATCATCAATTTGACATCAGTAATTTTTCACTGGGGAACGTGGAACACGGAACGTTAAATATGAAACACGAAACGCGCAACGCACAAACGCACGTCACGTACGTGTATGTACATACGCCACGCAATGTGGAATGTGAAAACAATGTGTATAAGGAACACAATGTGTATAAGGAAACACGTACGATATTACGATCGTACGAAGTTCATTCTACGCATCTGAGGCATGCATTTCATCAGTTTCATCATAGACACATAAATTATCAACGACGCATCTAATTTTACAAATTTTGTGCACATATCCAGTAATAATCGAGCATCCATCGCATAAAATAAAGTTCTGCTTACTATTATTTTGTATCATTGGAAAAAATCGTTACGAATATTCTGAATTCAGTAATTTTTGAGAGCTATATATTTTCATGCTAAATGCGAATTTTGTAATTTCTCACGTTTTTATACGATAAGTGAAGATGACATCTGTGCAAATTTTTCTTGCAAAATTTATTATATCGATGACAAGAATCATTAAGACGATACAACGATTTACATTAAGCTGCAATAGATTATTTGTTACCTATGAAACATGCGAAGGAAAATTACAAAACATCTTTTTTTATTTATTGCAACTATCGACTAATTTATGTCAACAGATCTTATATTGTAATTATTATCACTTTGATTGATAATGACTAAATAGGCCCGGGTCATTTATTGTGGTTTTCGTTTATATGAATTTTAAATAAGCGCAAGTTTTTATTAAACATCTCGCTTGGATCATGATAACTCTAATGGAAATTTATTATCCTCTTTAAGCCTGTTATTTAATCATTTATTGTTATAACTTATTTTATTTTTGAATTTAAAAATACATTAATTTTTGTTCAAAAATACAATTATCATAAATCAAAAGAAATCGGGAATAATCATATATATATTTTATTAAAAAGTATATTTGATTGTTGTATTATCCCAGTGAAGTGACCGTTAATCATTGTTAGATCGACGTCAAAATCATCAATTCGATGTCGAATTTACAGTCATTTCTCATTAGGAAAAAAGTGTTATTAATGAGAAAGACTGCAAATGTGTAAAAAATTTTACGCAGAAACAAAATTTTTGTATATCTATTGATAATAAATTTCGATAAATTTTCAACAAAATATATGAAGAGTTAATATTATTTATAAGAAAATTAGTACAAATTACAATTCCCGGTTATTGAATTATTTTTCCGGTTATCTGATTACATCCATTCATTCATTAACAAGCAGCCAATGCTTGCTTGAGATCGGCTATGAGATCATTTTCGGTTTCAAGGCCAACAGATAATCGAATCAATTGATCAGTTATGCCTAATTTTATTCGCATATCTAACGGCACAGACTCGTGCGTCATTTGAGACCTAAAATGAGGAAAATTATTTCAATCTATATTTTTCAACAATCTTGATACAAAATGTTCGATTGAGTAAAACAATTTAATAGAAATAAAGAGCTAAGAGCAAAGGCTAGTTGTTCGTTGTTAATATTTAATTATAAATAAATTATTTATAAATACATTATTTAGAAATATATTATAAATATATTATAATAGACATACCAACCCCCCTTCATTCGGTCATTTTCAATGTTAAACTATTTCAAACTACCGATTATAAAGGATCCTAACTATTCTTTCATATAAAATTTTGAATTGATATAAACGATCTTATGTTTTTAAATACATATCTGTTAAATATACTTACGGCAATTCAGCTAGCGATTCGTAACCGCCTAAAGATTTGGCTAGAACAAAAACTTTCAATGCTTGCAAAAAGCGCTTAGAATTGCCTTTCAGATAGAAAGAAACCATTCCACTATGTCCTGTTTGTTGTTTAATTGCGAGCTGATGTTGCGGATGCGATGAAAGAACTGAAATGTAACAACACACACGTATTTCATTGTAAAAGTTTTATTAATTATTAATACTTAATTATATATCGCATTAAACAGCAAGTTATTTGCAACATATATGTTATAGTTGTAATGACCGACTCAACAATATAATTGTAATAAATATAACAGGTATGATACATTACAGTAACCTGATGCTTGTCGGGATGCTCTTGTTTTAATAATACATTTATAAATACAGGAGACTAAAAAATTGTACGTACGTGGATGAATCACTTTTTCAACGTTAGGATGAGAATCAAGAAACTTGGCTACGGCTAAGCCATTCTTCATGTGTTTCTGCATTCTTAGTTCAAGCGTTTTCAAGCTACGATTGACCAAGGCACAGTCAAACGGCGATGGAACAATTCCCATAACTAAATTGAACAAGAAAATGTTGTATAAAGTTTTAAAATGGCTAGGAAAATCTCTTATTGATTTACCAGTTTGATTGAACCGCAATTTCTGCGCGAGATCATCCCGGCGCGTTATAGCGGCACCCATAATCACATCCGCATGGCCATTCATATATTTTGTCAATGAATACATCACTATGTCGGCACCAAGATCAAGAGGTTTCTGTTTTAAAAGCACAATATTTTGGCTACAGTTTCTTTCACATTGACTTCGTACGATTGAATAAAATTTGTCTCATAATTATGTCAAACTTACTTGAAAGTAACATGTCAAAAACGTATTATCAACGACTAATATAATGTCTGGGCGAGATTTCAAATTTTTAGCAACAGCCTTTATATCTGTTAGTTTCATCAAAGGATTCGTCGGCGTCTCTAGCCATATCATCTACAATAGAACAAATTATTTTACGCAAAATACTAATTTGATATTAAAGAGCATAATATTTCAAATAAAAAATATCAAATTCTGATACAAAATATCAATAACAATATATAGCTTTAGTTTTTTTATTTACCTTTGTATTTGGTTGTATAGCGTCTATAACGTTTTGTACATCAGTCATGTCAACGAAAGTATATGTCACGCCTTGTTTGCTACTACATTTCTGGATATAATTAATAGTTCCACCGTAAAGATCGTCTCCGACAACTAGATGATTTCCTGTTTCTAGTAAACCTGTAATAGCAGTAAGAGTACCTAATCCTGAAGAGAAGCATAAGGCATGATTGCCATTCTCTAAAGCAGCCAGGCATGTCTCCAGAACATCACGCGTAGGATTGCCGCATCTGCCATATTCAAAACGCTATAAATATGAAATAAACCAATTAAAATTAAATCGTTATTATACAAAATTGTCTTTTTTCTTTAACATTCAAATATATTCAAATTTATTTAGATAATTTAAAAATATGTAGTATGTACAAGTACATTTTAACACCAAAAAATATTTAAAAACATCTTGATACTATATATTTAAAAAGATATAGTTTTTTAATATATTTTTTTCTAAATAATTCTGCGCAAGTAAAAATAAGATAAACAGATGCAATCAAATTGTTATTTGTCCTTGGCTAAATGTTGGTTGGTTTACGGGAATTGTTATGTGACTTTTGAATTGTAGTATATTGCAGAACTGGAAAATTGTTATTTAATAATTCTCATAAAAACATGATATACTAAGCACCAAGTTGTAGTACTCGCTGATTCTATATTTATATTATTTACATAAATACTTTAATATATTATTGTTTATGTATTCCTTAATTTATTAAAGAAAAGGTGGACATTTTTCAAAATTATATTAAATTCTTATATTTCAGTTTGCATATTATTGCAGTGCCATTTACTTCATCAGAGCGAGAAGCGTATTGCATCTGTGTGCTGTTCATCCTGATGAACGGCAAAATTCACGAAACGATATCCAAATAGTAAAGTATGATCTATTTGATGTAGTCATTAACATTGTTGACAAATCTTATGGACTATTATCATAAAAACGACGTGGATTTGTAACAATCTCATAATGTCATAATAATCGATGTCGAAAGTACATCGTTATTTTCGTGTTATTAACAACATATAATAAATAACGTTATATTAATTAATTATTAATAGCGTTATCGATTAGTCATTTGATTGATGTAACGTTATTAATACGTAGTAAATAAATGACGTCATTAATTGATTAAATAGGTGACATCATTATTTCGTCATAAATAGGTCACATGACTTAAATAATTCAAAATGATTAACTATCAACGTCAAAATAACTACAGTTTACTGGGTGGCATTAGCAATGGATCATATGACATGACAATAATCCGCAAATACGTAGCACCTTTAAAGAAAATACCCGTGAAAGCTTCAAAAATATTTCTTATATTTCAGCTTACATTTTACTAGTTATTATACAGAAATATATACTTGCTTCGATAACAGCACATTTTTTATTCTCATTTTCATTGATAAATCACCATTTATTTAGTTATTATTAAATTACCAAGTTATTCCTTTTTCTTTTTTGTTTATTTGTTTCTCATTTGTTTCATTTACCTGTTTTTTATTTGTTTTATTTATCTGTTACCTATTTGCTTCAACCTTTCGACAGAAAGTACATAATGTAAATAAATTTATAAAAAAATATTCTATTTCTACAGCTTGTATGTAACTTTAACTTTATTAATGGCAATAGAAATTTAATGCAATTTTTGCTAGCTATAAGTGACATTAATTAATTAAGAGAGAGCTAAGAGTTATATAATACATAAATGGATTTGATAAGTCGGACATTTATTTATTAGTACTTACTCCAAGCTGTGCTGGATCATCCTGCATAAAAGTAGTCGACATCACCAAAGGTGGTACAACCGCATAATGATTCCACTGACCAGGATCTTGCCCAGCATGGATAGCTGTCGTCGCGAAACCTGTTTCCGTTGAAGTCATAGTCTATTCGGTAAAAAATTGTTCTGCAAATATTAATTAAAGATGTAATTTATTATTAATTTGCTATAATTAATAGAAATATTATTCGGTGAAACTCCTTGTTTAGGGAACCCCGTTTATACCACTTTGACCTGAAACCTGGACATATACAAAGTTCCCTAAACAGGAGTTTTATCTACATCATCGAACAATTTTTTTTATTAATATATTTATAGTAATAATAATATAATAGTAATTTGTCGAACGTAATTTTAGTTTTTTAATTTTAACTAAATATTTATTGCCTCTTACTTTTTACGTTCTTTTAAATGCAAGTTGTTACTATACGTGCATGTCGCTCAGTCCTTAATCCACGGAGTAAAAGTAAGAAATAGACCAATTAATTAAAAAAAAAAAAAAATAAACAAAATTTTAACATAGTCTATTTATAAGAATAACACGTACAATAACAACTTGCAACTTAAGAGATAACACTGTGGCGGCCCGCCACCAGAGGTCCAAAAGGAAGAGATTCGCGCCAATTCTCGCATGTATTCGAGACACGCGAAATTTTTTCATATAGAACCTCGATCTAAGACTCTTCCAGATGTCTGAGGCAGGCTCCCACTACGATGCCTTACTGTTGAGTCCAGTAGTAGAGGCCGAAACGAAACGCCGAGGTAGATAACATTTCGCATAGGCCCACAAGGGCCTAAAACACATTTATGTGACGTAAAAAGTGAAGTACAATATATGTATCTTCGATAAAAATTAAAAAATTAAAACTGTCAAGTTCAAAGTAGAAGACGCCCTATAGGCGCAAAATATTCCTAGAACGTTATATAAATATTATTTAAAAAATTAAAATAATTATAATATTTTGAGAATATTCAAAAAATAGAAAGTTAGAAATTCTGGCCATAACGGTTGAAGATGGATCTTTTAAATGCTTAAATAATTCGATGAAAATTAATTTACAGCTATTATATACTACAACAATGTACATGCATATCATATATTTGTAGGCATATTTACTGCGCGCCGGATTTAAAAACGCAGCTAAACTACTGAAATATTACAATTAAATTTTTAATGTTTAATAGACATCTATTAGAAAAATCTCAATATAAATATAGACATCTGTAAATTAATTTATTTGTTACGAAAAATATTATCTCGACTATATATTGAATCCGGACCTCTTGCATCCGTGTAAGAATTTATGACCAGGATTTTCTATTTGTTTAATTTCAAATGTATGATTCAATAAGATTCTTATCAGAATTCTTTGTCAGAATTCGATCGAAATTATTTTTTTACCGGCCGAAACTGAAAACAAATATTAGGTTTTTATTCAATTGAAATCAAAATGTTCCTTTACTTAACTTATGAATAATTCAGGAACAAAAAATTGTAGAAGCATTTTTTTAAAACAATTTTTTAGAAAAAACTAAGATTTTATGCTACTTAGTCGAAAATTTTCGCAAATTCTTATTTGGCATGACAGACCCACAAATTGAGAAGAAAAATTTCCCTTTTTTCAGCTTGTAAATAGTTTTCTATATGTAAAAATTACCAAATTTACATGAACTAAAAAATTATAAAAATCTTTTAAGAGCAAAAATTCAATCTTTAAAACCTCTTTTTAAATTTAAATTGTTTATTTTTGACAAAGGTATTGTATATATAGTTTTGAGCTAACAAAAGGCTACAGATTTTTTCTTCCAATCTTTCTTAATCCAATACTTGACAGTCATTAACAAAACTCACTTTAATATCGATACCACTGAATATCTGTTGAAACTGAAATAATTTGACCGGTGACAAGCTACTTAAATAATTTGCAAAGTTGATAACCGCGTGGTTGATAAAGAAGAAAATGGATAAAGTATTCTGCCCTCTGTGGTGGGGTAATGATCTGTTCACGTTTACACTTTTCACACTCAACACTTTCTCTTTCTTTCTCTTCAACGCTCGTATTTGTATTGTATTGATTTTATTTTATGTGCAAAAATTTTTGAATATTCCAAGCAAGATAGTGAATAGACCTCTGTATTGACTGATATAACATCTGATGCAACGATATATCATGATATATGCTAATATGAAACAGGGATGCAATAAGTGTTACGCAAAAAAAATTTTTGTTGCGAAAATATGATGGGTTCCAAGTTGCTGTCAAAAAAGCAATTCTTAACCGACATTTTCGCAAAAAAATCGTTTTCTCTCGTAACGATACCATTGATATTAAAAAAAAAAAAAGAGAATACAAATTTAAATCGATACTTTATGTCACAAATACACATCTGATTATTCATTATCTATAAGACGTGTGAGAGAAAATTGCAGGAACATCCTTTTTTTTTTCATTTATTCCAACTATCAAATTTATAGCCACGGATCATACCTTGTAATTATTGTCACTTTGATTGATAACGACCTGATAAGGATCGATTTTATTTGTAGTTATTATTTATATAAATTTTAAATAAGTAATTAGCATTAAACATCTTGCTTAGCTCGTAATAGCCCATATGAATATTTATTATTTTATTTAAATTATTTGAGCATGTTATCTAGTTGTATTGTTGTAATTTATTTTATTTTTAAACTTGAAAATACGTGTATTTACATATTCAGAAATGCTGACAGATATAATAAACAAAAAGGAATCGGGAGTGATCATATATGTTTTATTAGAAGGTTTGATTGCCGTATTATTCTATATTGAAGTGACCGTTAATCAATGTAAAATCAATGTCAATTCGACGTCGAATTTACAGTCATTTCTAACTGAGAGACAAGTATTCCTAATATATAAGACTGCAAAATGTATAAAAGAATTTTACACAGAAACAAAATTTCTATATATCTACTGTGATAACAAAGTTTGATAAACATTCAACGATATATGGAAACTTGATATTATGTATTTTTATATGAAAATTAGTACAAATTAAAATACCGGTCATTGAATTATTTTTCCGGTTATTTGATTACATTCATTCATTCATTAGCAATCATCCAATGTTTGTTTAAGATCGGCTATGAGATCGTTTTCACTTTCAAGATCAACAGATAATCGAATCAATTGATCAGTTAAGCCCAATCGTGCTCGCATATCTTTCGGCATGGTCTCGTGCGACATTAAGGATCTAAAATGAGGAAAATTAGTTCAAACTATTATATATTTTTAAATACACATTTCTTTAATATACTTACGGCAATTCAGCTTGCGATCCGCAACCGCCTAAAGATTCAGAGAAAACGAACAATTTTAATGCTAGCAAAAAATGCTTAGAATCGCCTTTCAGGTAGAAAGAAATCATTCCACTATGTGACCTGTTTGTTGTGTAAACGCAAGCCGATGTTGCGAATGCGACGAGAAAACTGTATTTAACGTATGCGTGTTTTATTGTAAACTTTAGCACCATATTACTTATTTTGACGTTATTTATATATTATTTATATAGGTGTACAAATTAGTTCGGTCCGTTTTTTGTGTTCAAAAATGCATTTATTTCAAAACAAAATGAATGAACAGATTAATTAAAGTATTGTCCATCGCTGGCTACTATACTTTTTCCCATCTCTCAGGCAATTTTCAAATTCCATTTTGAAAAAATGACTCGTCTTTGGAGGCGATCATCTTTTAGAAAATGGACCGAACTAATTTGTACTCCCAATATTTATCAATAATGATAAAATAATAATAACGTTAGTCGCGCTCAATTTTAGTTTTTAATTTTTTATCGAAGATTTATCGCATCTTATTTTTTATATTACTTTTTACGATGTTTTAAATGCAAGTTGTTATCGTGCGTGTTTTTAGTCTTTCGATCATCCACGAAGTAAACGTAATAAATAGACTAATTAAGATTAACATAATTCTATTGCAGTCTATTTATACTGAACAACACGCACGATAACAACTTGCAACTTACGAGATAATACATTTACGTGAAGTAAAAAGTGAGATGCAATAAATCTTCGATAAAAATTCAAATTGACAATTGCAAATTAGAAGGCACAATCTTGTCTCGTTGTTTATATACGTTAAGAAAAGGAAAAGAAGTATTCTTTTTTTTTAGAGATTGAAGCGTTCGTTCGTATAGAATTTAAACTTACAATTAGTTGAGAGAGCATTTTTCTTTTTTGTTCGAGATCCTTCTCAGTTACTTTCTGTACTCATCTTGTTCGGACGTGCCCGGCGAAAAATGTAGCTATTCGAAGAGGCTATATTCTTGACAGTAAACTTTTACAATTCAGTCAATGAAATACTTTTATCAAATATTGATAGGAAATACTTTTTATGTCTAAGAGAATCTACTTGAGAGTCACAAGCAAGATTCACTTACGTTGATGCTGATACCGCTGAATATCTGCTAAAACTGAAATGACCTGATCGGCAATAAACTGTTTAAATAACTTGCAACGATATCAACCACCTAGCCGATATTGTGATAAATATATGCTAATATGAAGTAGGAATGTACGATATGCGTATCGATACACACGACGTGCGACATATCGTTATGCGACAAAATATGATTTTTTGCAAAATTTTTGTCGATTATAAATGATCTTTGAAGGCAATTTCTAACTGACATTTTTATTAAAAAATCGTTTTTTTTCTCATAACGATACATGTATCTTTTTCGTATTGATATGAGAAGAAAAATACAGAATATACCTACCTTTAAATCGATACGTACGTCATGTAGAGATGTGCGATACAAGAAAATGCATATCACACATCTCTAACATGAAGTATCGATTTAATTTGCATTTAGGATATATGTATAAGTACCGTAATTTCACACAACTATGGCCCTATGCCAAAAGTATGGTGCAAACATCCGCACGCACAAAACATGATGAATATCAGTGTTTTCGTGAGCACAGGTGTTTAGACTGTAGTTATGGTTATGGCAAAGGACTATAGTTGTGTGAAATTACGGTATATATGTATATTATTAATGTGTTAGGGAGAAAGTCTTTTTACAAATAGCCGATTATCTCGGCTTTTTACCAAGAAATCACAGAAGTTTTACACAAATGGAATAATTGTTCTACCCGAAGAATGGTAAAACGTCATCGATCAAAACGACACGTAGTTGGTATAATAAAAGGTTTGTAAAAAATATTCTAATTATGGTCCAACTTGTAAAAAGACTTTCCCTAATCCAGTAGTACGATTATAATACCACAACGTATTTTTCTACTATGTTATTATATACTACGTAAGTAATATTATATTTTGTATTTTTCAAAAATACATATACAGTAGTATACATATACATTAAAATATACGTTATGATATACAATATAATTAATATTTATTTTTTGTGTATTATAATTGCGTAAAAATAATTAATTATAAAAATATTAAAAATATTAATGCAGGCTATCAGTATTATTAATTGGAGGTAATCTTAATGCAACATGGTACTACGATCGTACGAAGTTCACTTTACGTGTCTCTGACGCGCTCATGTTACACAAAATTGTTGCAGATGTATGTATCATACATATGCGTGCATATCAAGTCGACCATTCATTATGATTTTGATCCACCTAAGCAAAAAAAAAGATTAAACATGTAAAGATCTACAAACTACTGATGATCCAATATAATTTCTTACTCACAGAAAACTGCGATTCCCTGCATGGCATTAAATTTATGTTTTATACCGTTATACGTCATAACGATCAGACTTATAAAATATTTACAATCATATTTTGCATTCACAGAGCTCTTTTCGAGAAAATAATGATGATACTTATCAGTATTAAATTATTAAGGTCTTTCTAAGATGTCTATTATAAGTATCGCATCTATTAAAAACATTGTTAAATTGCTTGTCAATTTAATTTGTAATGTTATTACTGTAATTCTGTTAGGATTGTGTTTTAAGACTAATAAAATTAAATTCAACGCGCAGTTTACAGGATTGGATACGAATATGTAAATTCACACACAAAAAAAGAATTTTTTCAAAACATTTCAGAAAAAGAATACTTTTCGCATCTAAAAATAAATTCAGAATTAATGAAATATGATTGTATTCTTTATAAATTATCTGTTTCTGAGATTTTATCCTTGTTTTAAATGAATTTAATGAATAATAAAGGGCGCGATTCACTTGATATTGCAAAAGCTTCATTGACCAATCAGAAAAAAGGATTTTCTGAATTGACTATAAATGCTTCGAAGCATTTGCAGCGTTAAAAGTATTGGACTGCACTCACAGATAAAATGATCGAATCGTCTTATTTTTTAAAAGAATACGAAAAACTAATGAAACACAATAATATAGTATGTGTAACGTATACTATAGTATTCCCCTAGATTTTCGTATGATTCTTTTTAAGAATAGAGGGATCCGTAAAGCGCATGATGTATCGTGTTTTCCTTATTTAAAAATTTGCGAATTATAATAATAAGGATAAAATAATACCTACATCATACGTTTTATGGAATACAATCAGTGCTGACGGTAAGTTCAAAATGTTCTTCAAACGCACCCCCAATCTCTAGTCAATCCAGTTATTAAATGGACCATTTCTTCACGCATGCGTGTTAAATGCACTTCAGTAAAGTATCTGGTAATAGTAAAATGAGGTTCATTAGTCCATATATATCTCATTTAAAAGTTTCTAAAAATTTTTATATATTTTATGTTTTAAATATACATGTGTTATATGTATATATTTATTTTCTTGATTTTTGCTTCTTTTTCGTTTAGATTTATTATTAAAATACATAATCTAGTTAGAAAGCTACAATCGATTCGAAATTAATGTAGTATTTAATAATTTAACACAAGAGAAATCAGATTTTTAATCTGTTACCCCGACACAAGATTTGACAAGAGATTTTCGAGTAAAAAGACTTTTTATTTTTCATTTATTGATGAATACGAAAACCTAAAATGTAAATTTCAAATGATTAAGGTAAATAAATTAATTGCGTCGCACTGTACTTCTCATTAGGATAGAAATCTGAATGATCGTCTGTTTGTTAATTTGAAGCTGTCGTTGTTGCCTCCGTGAATTCGGTGGATGATCGTCTCGACCCTGATGTGATCATTAACGCAGTATCGATCATGTGGCATCAGTGGTGAGGGTAAACGTGAACAAGGGTGCAGAAATTCCACCAATTCCACGGACCAAAACATTTACCTCCTTGAGAAAGAGATAGAAAAAAGCAGAAATCAGGAAAACGAAACTCGAAACATCTCCAAAGATGAAAGGAACCATGGAAATTTTTACGTCGCTGGTGTTGCTCATCGTAGAACTGACTCTCGAGGACGTAGTCAACACACACAATCGAGATACAGTCGTAACGTCTTCTGATATATTAAATTTTAAGGATCCCTGCAATTTGTGCGAAAATACAGTTACTGGTTTTCCAAATGTATGTGTTAACTGTGTAATGCTGAATTTTATGTATACGTATATATATATATATATATATATGTATATGTTTATTTTTATATCTTATATTTGTTTGCACAATAAATTATTCCATTTTAGAGCTACATAAAGTCTTGCTGTCAACGAGGCTGCAGGTTTTTCAATCTAATCAACTCGCGTTACAAATGGGAGGAAGACCGTTTGAATGGCACTATTAGGAACGCATGCGAGGCTTGTATGTAGCATTTATAATTGTGTTTTATTTTTTAAGAGTATGAAAGTATTTAGCTTCGCAATTTTCTGAGATATTAACGGTAAACACAGTTTTGTTACATTTATTGTATATGTATATCCAGAAAAATCTACATTCTTTTTTTTTTCTTTAAAATTGCTTCTGTATTATTTCTTATTGAGCTTGTAATTCAAGCATGTAATTGTACATATTTTGTATGATCTGTAAAATTGCTTTTGTGCCATTTGTGACAGCGTGTTCCGAGGCTTACATAAATCCGAATGATCAGTGTGTCTGCAATATTGGCTGTAATTTCATGGCCAAGCAACGAGTTTCAGATCTGTTACCTCTGTTCACTATCGCCACATGCATGGAAAACAATATAGACATTTTACCCACGCCGCCTGACATACCAGAGAATGATATATTAACTGATCCTGGATTACGCAAGGAATTACTTCCTAGATGGTGGGATGTGGATGGCTTTAAATTGCCACAGACCCATATTAAAACCATACCAATAGACGCTAGGGTAATATTTTCTACGATTATGTAATATAATACCAGTGAGCGACAACTTGGTAAAAACACTAACAGTAATATTACATCAATATTATAATTTCTTTCTTAACAGTATAACACATGTGATAGATACCAGTTTCATTGTTAAGTAAATTATAACATTGATATTATGTGTTATTATTGTGTGTGGAAAAAGAGTTGGTGTTTACTGGGAATGTACAATACATTTCTGATATAAATATGAAATGCGTTGATAAAATCATAGACTGTGGATTACACTCAAGCCTCTGATTGTTCTGAAGAAACTAAACAACTGTCATCTACATATAAATCTGAAACGTTTCAACAGGCGAAGAATATTCTCTCTCACATTGGACATCTGTATCTCAAGTATATAGCGGCTTTAGCTGGTCCTTTCATCGCCATAGTAGGGCCTGCAATATCATTATATTACATAAAGAAAAAACATAGATCATATAAGAAGAAGTTTTATAGCAATATCAACTTTTCGAAGAACATTATGGTATTCATGCCAAATGAACTAGTGATGTACACAATTCTTCCACCTGAACATCATAAAGAATTATCTAGTCGTTCCATTTAAATCACGACGTTTCGACTTTGTGAGATGTGATTTTAAAATCTTAACATAATGTAATAATGCAATAATACAAGTATTAATTACTGCAAACAACTCCTTATTTTCAATCGCGCTATAAAAATTACATTTACAGTAAATACTATAAAAATCAAATTATTCTTTTTCTATTAAATAATTGATGATATTTCCACACACGCGCGCATATTTAGCATCTTTGATCAAATTTAATATAAAGTAATAACTGAGAAATAATAACGAGACAAAAACAAGCTTATTCAGCAATATATAATTTTCAAATCAAACTATACTTTATAAGAGAGATATCGAGTTTTTGAAAACTTTTATGTTAATATAATTATATTACAGACTGAGCTATTAGGTTTTGAAGTATGTATATGTACATATATTAAGGAGAATATTTTTAATATCAAAAATTGCGAAGCTTTTACGTCTTTTCTGAATGCAATCGCATAATTTGTATATGTATATATTTATACATAAATTAACATACAACGAACAAGTTCAAATTTGTAGAAGAAATAGACGTAAAACTAATGACAATATAGATATTTAATCAAAATGTCATTTGATTTGATCGTTTTTATTGTTTTGTGGGAAGCCCATCACTGAAAGTCGATAATAGTACAATATATAAAGTTATGGAGAAGGATTTGTGCAATATTATATATTTAAATCTATTTATAGAAGAATATTGTATTATATATTGTATATATTATATATAAATATTTTATATTATACAAAGATTTATGTCACGTCTCTTTCTCTATGAAAAAAGAAAAGAGAACTGATATTTCTCCAAACGGAGATTTTTGTCAATTTCACACTCTTGCTAAATAGATTAAAATTGCATTAATTTGCAGTTTTTCCGATACAGTGCATTTTGTCGCTTGTTACACTCATTACGTAGCATCAATGCGATCAAAATATTTTAAATAAAATATACGAGAATTCGGTTAGTTTTTTTTACAATTATACAAGTATATCATATACATACCTATACATATGCGAGCGTTTTATGCATATCTTTTCAGGATTTTTATAGAATATTATCTCTGTGTGTATATATTAATTAGAATTTATTTATAGCGTGTGTATATATTTAGGTTATATATACAATATATATATATATATATACGTTTAACTCAATCTCAATTTTAATTGAGTGCGAAATGTGACTAAAATCTTATTCCTTATTCAAAGAGATAAATATATAAGTTACGTTATTGATACGCGTTACCTTTATGTGTCACTTGTCACATTTATTAAAAGCCTTTTATTGTAACTCGTAATTATCCTTGTAGAGCAAGAATTGCACTTTTTATTCTCACACGTGAGTAACAATACAACTAAGCTTTATTTTTTTTTGTTATAGAATATCAACACGTGTTTTATGTAAAAATATATTGAAAGTCTTTATGTAGCAATCGATTTTAGCATCGCGATGCAAAATCTTGAAAGTATCGAATGTATAAATGTTCCTGTTTGTAAGACTTATACTCTTTGAATTAAATCTCATTGTTGTCGATATACCAACATATAAAGAAAGATTTTGCGTATTCCCTTCAACGCAATTTATTGAAAATAACTAAAACATTCGTGCGTGTTTGTGCATATCTCGAAAAAGGCTTGCGATTAAATGTCAGTCTTTGGAGGATGTTATTAAAATGTACGTGATATAAATATCAAAATATTTATTGCATAATAGAAAAGTACATGTAAAACCAAAGTATTGTGTTTTTTAAACAGTATAAGTATCTTATACTAGAGTCTGTTAAACATCTTATACTAAATTCTGACAAATAAATGTATTATTTATGTATGTAAAACTTATGAAAATAAAATGTAAGTTTACGCGACGCAAAATCGCGCACAATCAGTCGATGATTCTCTTTTCCGTTTAACATGTCCATCTGCTTATTTTGGTAAAACAAACTGCGAGTAGAGTTCTTGATATAAGTTTAAATTTAACGTTAACAAGTAACAGTTTGTAAATAGAAATTATCTGCTCCTTTTTACAAAATACCGCACATGAAAAAGGCGGAATGTACATCAAGTGTATATAATCGCAACATGCACATACATTTACAGATCGATACCAGTTTGGCTTGCGATAAATTGTTCACGGGAGATCTTAACAATGTTTCATGTATATCTGTACAATACGGAGCGTGCCATAAAATCGAATTAGACTCGTAATTTATAAAAAGATCATATGCATGATATCGCTAAGATTGAATTTATGCAAGATTATCTATATTATTGCTAATAGAGTTTGAAAGCGTTTCCGCATTTTTTCAGATAACGTGCTAATTGTAACCCAAGAAGGAGGATTTAAACCAAGTTTCCACCTTGAACATTCGGTAGAATATTATTATTGTTATTAGGAGCACATACCTCTAAAATATTCTTATTTATAAGAAAAGTCTTCAGCGATATTTATCATATGTACAACTGTAGAAATCGCTTACAAATTAGAATGTGTCACAATCATGATCTAAAAGATTTAATTTGTGAAGTATAAATTAAATCTTATCAAATATGTACGCGACATAATAGAGATCAACGTCAAGCAAAATTCGTAAGTATTATTGCCAATATAATTCAGGATCGTCCCTACGAAACTGAAGCTTCAAAACATGTCGATATATTTTCAAGGCAGGACCTAATAGCAAATTAAGTCCGCTCACAACATCCTTTCGACTCATCATTAGAAGTGCGTGACCGTCTATATCCTGGAACATAAATGCGGACAAATAAAATGATATATCAAAACATTTATATAAAAAATATGTCGTCTATATAATAAATTAAACTCTTACCTGCTGCCGGAAGACTTCAGCGTCCTTAGGAAATAACCTAGCAAAGTATTGATACACTTGTTCGGAAGTCCAATTTCTTGCGTCAGGAATATTTAAATCAATGGGTCCTTTGGGACCATCTTCTTCAATCTGATCGGAAGAACCCCTCATAGGAGAGACCTGTGGACTTAGAACCGGTGGTAAGATAGTTGTGCTCGACGGGCTGTCCGGTCTGCTTGTTCCATTGATCGAATGAGTGTTTTGACTGTCGTTCATTTTGCTCAATTGTTTTTGCGTGCACTCATTGCAATGCCATTTAGAGTTGGATTTTATCGTAACGCGGGACGGATGACAAAAATAATGATAGGCGTCATCGCAATTATAACAAGTCACTAACGGACCCTAAATAAGAAAAAATTATTGGAATAAGAATTAAACCATGAATGTATCACATAAAATAAAATGAAATGTAATAAACCTACAGCGTCAGAAGTTTCACAACACACTGCGCAAGTCTTACAGCGTTCACATTGCCAATTGCTATTGGCTTTTTGTAGCATTTCCTCCGGACTATAAATACAACTCGGATGTGCTGCAAGTATACATAATACGTAATGCATATATAAATGTCAATGAAAAGTTTAGGAAAAATTAATCAAATTAACTTCAATTAAATTCAAGAATTACCTCGCACTGTGCAGTCTCTACAAGCCACGAGAGCCTCTTGTTTCTCTTTGGCGCATAGGCTGCATTGCCTAAATGGTCCATCCTTGACAGATGTCTTAGAATCCTGATCTTGTATCAATGAATTTTTATGACCTGGTCTGCCTCGTTTGCGTTTCACCAAATTATTATCCGAAGGATCAAATACTTTTCTAGCTCTCTAAAATATAAAAATAACTATATAAATTGATATATTAACTTTTATCTGAATGATTTGCCAAAGAAAAAAATAACTTTCAAAGAAATTACATTATCATTTTCTTAAAAATATCAATGGTAAGTATCTTTAGTCTCTAAATGTTCTTTTACAAAATCAATTCTTATTGTTAATACACGTATAAAAGTATCCGTCTAAGAGCATCCACAAGTGAGTACTTTACAAGATAATATAGTTATTTTACTTTACGTTCAAATATACATTAAAGTGAAACTATACCTTGTGTCAAAGACGTCTTTCAAAATATTTGCAATATGTCTGATAAATATTACATTACATTAATAAATAGAACATTTACGCTACCTTTCTTCTGGCACTGCGAAATCCAGAAGCATTTACATTGGACGGAGTCGGGGATGTATTCGTCGACGAGCTTCTACCAGCATCTTCATCCTCGTGATCTTCGCTGGATCGTCGACCAGTTTCCTCGCGTTTCTCTCGCTCATCCTTGCTCTGTTGGTAGTCTTCGAACTTAATTTCAATGTCCATACGGTCGTCCGTTCTGGCGAACAGACGTTGCTTGCGCTCGGCCTTTGCAGACCTTTTAAGGTTAGACGTAGTCTTCTGTACATCGTTGCTCTTTGGTTCGTCCTTGACGACGATATAGTTTTCCACAGTCGTCGACGTTGGCGTTGCTATTATCAGAGAACTGCGTTCCCGTTTTTCACCGTCGACGACGCCGCCGTTGCATGCCACCTCGACGGATAGTGGCGACGCGATAACGCCGCGTTCGACGTTTTTCTTGTCGTTGACCTCGTAGCATTCCTTCTTTTTGATGGAATTCTGCTGCTGCAGTTGCCGATCCAGTTTCGGACTATCGTTGGCCTGTCGCGAGGACGATCGCGATGTGTTTGACGTAGTGTCGGTAAGGTTATCCGTCTCGTTGAACTCGTACAGCTCAGCCGCCGTTGCTGCGATCGCTGCCGCTGTCTTAGTCGCCTTGGTCGTTATACCGTTGGTGCTGACGGTGCCGTTGGTAGCAGCCTCCTTACCGACACGCCGCTGCGTCGCGTTGCCGTGCTCCAGGACGCAGGCAACCGCCGCGGAGGAGGACGGCTGCGAGTCGCCGCCGCGTCGCGACGGTGTCGCGTCCGTCGTCATGTCGGACGTCGCCACCAGCGAGTAATTGCCGTTGGCCAGGCGCGCGAGATTGCCGCACGCGACCTCCCGGCCGAGAAACTCCTCGACCACCCGGCGCGACGTCGGGCTCGAGACACCGTCGAGAAGCTGCTCGATGAGACGACCGGCGGGGACGCCCTGGTCAAGGTAATCGGGCTCCTCGACTACGAGCTCGGCGACCGCACTCGACACCATGCTCGAGTTGAGTTTCTCCTTGAGGAAACCTTCCGGTCGATTCTTAAAGAGTTGCAGTCGCGTCCACTTCTTTGCATTACGGTAACTGGTATTACCCTTGTAGTCAACCTGTATCACCTTCTCGACCTCGATCAATCGATGAAGATCGGCGATCGTGTCACGCGCGTCCACCGCGTAATTGCGGAGCAAATAGTTGCATATGCGATCAGCATCGGGACGCGCTTTACGTCGACGGAGTTGATCGATCGCCTCCAGTATGTGGTCCTCGTGCGTGATCCGCGGCGCCGCCTGCACCGGGTGTTGCTGCATCTTCGTCATTCGTATCGATATACGGGGCGCGACTTTGCGACTCGCTGCTTTATCTCCTCCTTTTCCTCTTCGTTTCTCCTTTGCAATTCGGCCAGTCGCCGCTAACCGTTCCTGAGCAATCCCGCCTCTCGTTGTCGAGGATGACGACGAGACCACGTTGCTTACAGTAATCGCTGCCAGGGTTAATAATGATCACCAGGAAGTCCCGGTTACCTTCGAAAAACGAAATACAGAGAGTTATGCTTTTGGAAACGGGCGCGCACGCTCGCGCGACACTCGACGATGATCTACGCGCGCCACGGACGTTTCCGCGCGATCTTCTCGTTTCGGCGTATCTCGCCGCTCGCGTGCGGTATGCGTGCGCCGCACCGGTCCGCCGCACAACCGCGCGCTCCGTGTCCGTCCGTCTGTCTGCCTGTGAATCTGTGCACTGCACCGCACCGCACCGCACCGTACCGCGCTGCGCCGCGTCGCACCGTACCTTGTGCCGCACCGATACCAAATTTAAATTCTGCGTCACGGAGACTCAGACGTGGTCCCGACGATGCCACCACTTTTGATATTGCCTCGTCAAACGATCCTTCCGTCACGTCACACAGAAATGTCGAAATCTTCACGTTTCCGTCGTGCTTCCTCACGTTTCTCGTCGCGGGAGAACCGCGCGCGGATCCACTCTCGCCCTCTCTCCGTCTCTGTCTTTCTCACACCCTCGTTCTCCGTCGGGCCGACGGGCGCGCTCTATCGAGCTCTCGTTCTACGGCGTGGCGCGCACGCTATCACCGCTCTGTCGCCACCGCCACCGCTACTGCTGCTGCTGTTGCCGTCGTCGCCACCGCCGCCACCACCGCCGCCGCCGCCGCGTGCCCGCGCGATAAATCCGATCTTCGTACTGCACACAATGAATGCACCGACGTGACGTGCGCTCCGTCCGAGAAGGAGCGAGACGCGGAGAAACAATTCGGAGAAACGCGTCACGGAGCGACGCGACGAAGCTCGAAACCACGACTGTAAATGATCGAGGGAAGCGGCAGTCGATCGTGCGAATTATGGCGTCGTATCGTGAAACGCGCCAAATGTCTCTTACACCGAAGCGACCCCTTCGATTGGACCGCTGCGATGGAAGACGACGACGACGACGATGACGAACTAAAAGACGTAGTAAAAACTCAACAAGAACATTTTCCGGCAAAGGACACAGTTGACATGGACGGCCCGATTTACGCTCACAACACTTGTTATAGATTATTTATCTTTATTTTAATACTTACAAACAGATGAAACAGCTGCTTTCGGAGGGTAAATCGTGTAACATATTCTAACGCGGAAACGTAAAAATGAAAATTTTTATTATGTATAATATACACAAACATATACCCATAAAAATTTTCACTTTTTACATTTTCACTCTGGGAAAAACATTTTTTCAATCATTTACTTTTCATTTTGTTCTTGGGATGGATTTATACATTTAAATTCAGTGTGAGGAATTAAAAAAAATCTAGTCTACAACTCTATACTTATCCTTTTGTAGAATAGACTAAAAAAAATTTTACAACAAGCTGCTTTTTTTTTGCTGAATACAGCTATTACTTCTTAAGCGTTGTTTGCGTATATCGGATTGCGGCTACAGTGGGTCCATTACATCCTTGTCGTTTACCAGGGTGTAAACAAGGCTGTAATGATTTACTGCGTTCATACTGTGTTGTCGCATAAGCGTCTCTTGCTGGAAAACATAGAGTTTAGCTACGAGCGATTTTGTCAAAATCCTGTGATTGATTGAATCACTATTTATTTGCGCTCTGGGACAAAGTCCCCTCAAGCGCTAGTCAAATATAACAACTAAAAATCTATAATCATAAAATGTATATTCCTTAAAACAACAAGATTTAAGCTAGTATTTATATAGTCTGTTCTTATTTTAAAACCGTCTTAAGTAATGTCTTAAGATGCTAGTAACGGTCTTCTAATTGACTTATTTATGACATCTTAAGAATATACCTAACAATACCAACCTCAAATATAAGACTCGACTATGAATATCAGCCTAAAAAAAAAGGTGAAAAGTTCCACTCAAAAAAATTTAGAGGATAAAAAAGTACGAATGACAAACGGAGTCTACAATGAGATTTTCAAGCGTACAACTTAAATCTTAAGTCGTAAGAAAGTGATCATTCATAACTGATCATTCTCTTCGCATTCGACTGTAATTGGACAATTTTGTATGGCTTAAAACCCAAGTCTACAATTGCGTAAGCGTAGTTGTAAGAACTGACCGATCACTGTCGAATATGAGAAGAATATTGAAATGTGGTCAATTTTTACAATCACAATCACTTACACCTATGCTTACGCAGTTGTAGAACGGACTTAAAACTCGAAGCTCAAGTTTTAAGCCTATTCCACGATTGCGTAAGCGGTTGTAATTTTTGTTTTAAGAGTTTACCAATTACAGACGGATACGTTTTTCTTGTGTTCGGCTGTGATTGGTGCATTTTTACAATTACATTCACTTACAACTACGCGATTGTAGAATAGATTTCACTCCTTAAAATCTCACTGCGTGCATTCAAAACGACAACCGCTCTCACTGAGCGCTTTCATCTGATTAGCACATTCCGTTAGACCCTCAAATACAGACCAATCGGACGAAAAGGCTCAGTTGAGCGGTTGTCATTCCGAATGCACCCAATGGGTGCATTCAGAAGGACGACCGCTCACTGAACGCTCAGTACCTGTTCGGTCTATTTTTAGATCTATTGAAATATGCCAATCAGATGCAAAAGCTCAGTGAGCGTGCTTCTGGATGCACTCATTGTAGACGCCGCTTAAAGTTTATCTACAACTGCGTAAACGTAGGAAGTTGTAAGAATTTTCCAATCACAGTTGGATTTTCTCCTCGTATTCAACTGTAATTGATCAATTCTTATAACGGTTACGTAATTCTAGATCGGAATTATGAGAGCACCTTTGTCGTAGAATTTTGACAAAAGATGTAATCAAAGTCTCATTAACAAACGCTTTAAAGCATTTGATCGAATCGGAAAAAAGAATTTTACTAAATCAAAGAATATTTCAAAATATTTATCACGTTGATCATACCCAAAATCGCTCATGACCAGAGGTTTCATTCTCGAAAAATATCATACATGAAAAAATACTAGAAAAATCTGTAGTATACATAATGCCGGAATCAGACTATTCATTGAAGATCGAGATTAAAGAATGAAATTTGATCAATCGAAACATAAGGAGATAAAATTTCTTTATCCTCGTTGACCAAATTTCAATCTTCAATAATCAATTTCAATCTTTAATGCGTAATTTGATTCCGGCCTAAAAATATATCACATGCGCTTTGTTTTCACGCTTACACGCTGCAGGCATCAGTTTATCTTTATTAGATCGATTGTTCCATCATTCGGTAAATTTTACGCGTAAGATTACCCAATCGCATGCGCAGATTGCCAGACTTACTTAATGCGTAAAATTTCGGTAAAACCAAGAAGTGGCACAACCGGCTCGTCGTCTATCAAATACAATATAGTTTGTTTTCTATTTTTGCACCTAGACTACACTAAAACTCTCTTTCTCGCTTTCGACAAGTATATCAAACCTATCTCACTTTAATTTCCAAAAGTGTACACTAGTTTAGCTACCAGAAACAGACGTGTAATAAAATTAGGACAAATGATGCTTGCAAGCGCAAAACGGAATGCACTCGATAGCTTTGAACACTCGATATTTTTCAAGAATACCTAGACTCGTCTCTAAAGCCCTGTGTCCAGGGTGCTAGAATTCTATTCAAGTTCTTGGATCCAGGAATGTGTATAGCCAATCAATATGTAGTTTTTTTACGAAAAAAAAATAGCAAGACACGCAGGGCTTAAGACTGACATATTTTACTTAGATTTGTCAATTTAATAAAATTTCCACCAGGTTTTTTCTTTTTCCCGCGATTTCTTGGAAATACTTTTGTAGTTTAGAAGAATTTCCGGATGACTTTTGGAGAGAAAAAAAAGTACAAAAAACCCAAATTACAGTTAAAATATTCAGAGAATCGCAATACAATGAGGGATAATTTTCGAAGATACATGGCGACAGTGATTGCGTAGTGCCGCGCCGATCGCCCGATATCTCTCCTCGCCGCCTATTGTGAAGCGGCCAGTTGCTTCCGAGAAGTTTTCGAATCACACAGTCGCGCGCGCTCTTATCGCTCCATCGAATCGTCCTGTCGTCGCGCGCGGTGCCCTGCGGACGTACGTTGAGAGGAAAAAGAAAAGAAAAAGAGAAGCGCGGGGACACACACACACACACACACACACACGCGCGCGCGCGTGATAATCTCTCGCCGGCACGGCGCGGATCGAACATCGAACTGCGGAGCGCGATGCGCGTTTCACACCCTCCGCGCGCGCGGCCGCTCGCTCTCGGAGACGCGAGATATACCGGAAAAACCGCGTCCAAGATTCCCCTCCCTCGTGTTCGCCGCGCTTCAAGAAAACACCGTCGCGCCAATCGCAAAAGTCTCATTCGGCCCGATACGTCCTCGGTTCGCAACGGTCCAAGATCGGGCGCGATTCTTATACTTAAAATAATGGCCACACGATGGATCTGCCGGCACGCAAATGCGCGCCCGTCGTCGCCCTTAGTCGTCTCCGCCGGGAATCGAGTCGATTCGCGCGCACCTAATCGCCGCGGCGATCGCAAAACCGATCACTAGGACGGTCCTCTTATTCTAGAGACGACACATGCGCGCAAAAGAGAGAGAGAGAGAGAGAGAGCGCGCCCGGAGACTTTTTTCCACGCGCACCGGGGGAAGTACGCGCCTGCACTTACCTTCGTGTGCGGAAAAGCGCGTAATAAGCGCGCACCGCCGTGTCTCGATCCGCGCACACCTCGAGCGTTAAACGCGAACGAGATAAAACCGGGCGTGTAATCGCGCCACGTGACGCAACGACGAGTTTTTCCACGATCCGCACGATTAGTGGGTGACGAGTGCTAGGAAGGTTGCGCGGCGCGGAAGAGACACACAAGTCCGGAGTATCCGCGCGCGCGGACCGAGAAAGATGGCCGCCCTAACCTCTAACGTACCTCGCACAACCGCGACGACCGTGCGAATACCAGCGTGAATACGTCGGCAGCCGCCGCGCCGCGCCGCGTCACCGGACGGTGTCGCTGTATGCGTGCGCGCGCGCGCACGATCGCTGCCCCGGTGCAGCACTGTAATAATGCCGGTGCGATTTTCTTAGCTGCTCTCAACGCCGGTCTTCAAACCCGGTGTCCCTTCCCAGCTCCATCGAACTTTCTTCTTCCTTAATCGCCTTCCCCTAATGGATTTCCAACCCACGGAGGCAAGCGAGAGTTGGAGATCCATTAATTACCATGAATATCCACAGATCCAGCGCGAGTCTCCACGGGGAAATAGAGGTCCTACTTTTTCATTATATACATATATATCTTGGTATTATATACTACATATCCAGAGACACACGCATTTCCAAAATGTAAGATACAGCCTTAAGATATACTCTTTAAAATGTCTAAAAGAGACGTCGCGACTTTGGACTTCGCGTGTGTTGTCTAGGTATCTTAATACTCGGCCAGTATCGCGAATATCGATATGCGCGTCGCCGACGAGACGTTGACGTGATGAAATCCGATCGGTGATCCGACGCGCGCGCGGGTGCATGCACGACGTCCCGAATCGCGCGTTCCGCTTCGCTCCGAGTTCGCTCGCGCCCGCGCCGGACCGAGAATGTCGGGCGAGTCGCTCGGAATCGGGAATCGACTTTCGGTCACGGGAAAGTGCACGAGGAAACGTGGCGCGAGACGCACGTGACTGAGCAAACTTACCAAACTTTACAACCGGAGGGGTGTACGCGTGTATCTCGTCCTCGTCGTCTTTCACGCAAGCCACTGCCGCCGTCGTCTGCATTCGCGCGCGCGCGCGCGTCGTTCTTTTCTTAGGGCGCGATGTGCCGAAGACGCGCGGCCGACTTCAACTTATCGGGGAAAAATAACGCAACCCGCTTCCTTCGCGACTCGAATGATCACGAATGTTCTCTGGCGCGCCGCTCGGGAGCCAATCGACACCCGCGCGCGCGCGCGTCATCTCTCTCTTTCTTTCTCGCCGACCGAGAGGAATGGCGCGTTAACCCAATCGCGGGCCTATCCGAAATGATTCCGGTACATACCTGTGGAGAATACAATGTGACGTACTGCGGACGTCCGGGTCTCACACCTCGATCGCCACGCGATCGTCCGTGCGCAGTCCGATGGATGCGCGGTTGCCAGCCACGTCGATTTCGACGGAAAACAAAACGGAGCGCACGCCGGCCGCGACCGAACGCGATATGGACGGACCGCCAAGATGGCACGCAACGCGCAGTACTCGCACCGGCAGTGTCGGCTATAGGCCGGCCTGGTGCCCAGTCCCCTTGAGTCCCTCGAAACACACAAGATCCGTTTTTTCTTCCTCTCTGAAACAAATATACGTTTGTTTCACTTCAATTTCTAGCACTGTATGCATTAGCTAGTGCAGAATGCAAGAATATAAAAGAGATCTGCAATAGATGTAATAAGTTTTAAGAGCCATAAGAAATTAATAATTTAGTTTGCTTTCTATATTCATATCGAAACCCTGATTATTCTTATTTGTGACGTCACAACTCAGTTGAATTGCACGCTCCAACAGATTTAACTGAACTTTTATAATCTGCACAAGCTCGAGCGTATGCTTTACTGAGTATTGTTAGGTCACGTTAAAAGAGAGATCATAAACCTATATGTTGTTATGCGATAATATTGTCACCGAAGTAAGCAAGTTGTAACGTCCAGTAGCGGATTTAGATAAAGGCCCACGAGACCTGGACCTACGGGCACCATATCCTTTTCTATAGCGGCACAGAAACGTCACCCTCTTCTAGGAACCAGAATAAAAGTTAATTTTATATTGATGCAGGATTGTTGTGATCGTGGCATATTTCCGCTAATATGGCACTTTATTGAAGTAGTGTTTTAGCGCATAAAAATAAAATTCTTGATGCTTTGATCGAAAAGTAATACTTATTGCCTTTCAAAGGTGTCTAATCTTTTTTTATTGTTCATCAAGTATCTTAAAAGAGCATCAAGAAGTACAGGGCCCAGAATGCAAAAGTGTGTAAATCCGCCACTGTCCGCGACATTATTATCCGAGTACAAAATACTCACATAACTTTAGACTTAATGTCACCTGTGTGAAAATGGAAAACAACTATAATCAATCAGTCGAATGTGAGAAAAATATTCCGATTAGTCAATTCCTTAAGGCTTAAAGCTTATTACACCTATACAGGATTTAAGTCGGAATGGATTTCGTTCGGAATTATTCAATTATTCTCTAGATTTCGTTTGTGTTTTCTAGGGAAAACGAAATAGTTCCGATCGGAATTTATTCCATGTTCTATAATAATTCCCAGGGACGCTATTCTGAAACTTTCTGTACATGCCTACCGGTGTCGTTATACATTTTGAGCAGATATTTTGTAAATAAATTGCGCAAAACATACAATATGAAACCGACAATTATCGATAGGCGTGTATAAAAAAATTGAGGAATAGCACGGTCAAAAACGCTACGTGTCTTATCTCCTAAAAGAAAAGCAGTCCTAAACAGTAAAGTTTTTATGTTAGTCCACTATTTTTTTTATTTGTGCGTTTTTGTCATACAATAAATTTTTCAAGCCTGTTGATTGGCTATCTATAGGATAGAGAACAGAGATATATCTGAGAATTTCTCTGTTCTGCATACATTTATGTCATATGACAAATACGCATAAATGAAATAATACATCCTAAGGTCCGATTTTACAATTAGGTCTGTTCGCGTTGATTGGAATACTTAAACATTTTTTTAATTTATAATGAAATGCAAATATATATTTGGATGTTGGAAAGAGAGAAACCGAAGGTGTCGAGTGCAAAAAGTGCAACCAATGTGAACAGACCTAGTCTGGTTAACTTTTAGACCCGCGTTTCACCAACTCCGATTAACTTAATCGACCGATTGTTACATTGAAACTGACCAATCGCATTTGCTGTTCACACTAAACAAAAATTTTGGTCCAATGAATGATCGTTAATCAATGTTCATCTTAATGTCATCTTAATAAAAGATGAACAGTGAGTTAAACCGAGATTAAAGTTAACCTATATCGATGAAAACTGCGTCAATTGGGCCGATTAGGTTAATCCGAGTTGGTGAGACCGGGTCATAGCCAGATTAGGCTTAACATAAGTTAATCGGATAATGAAAAATCGGGCCTAATTGTAGAGGTATATTCCGAAAAGCACTCCAGGCATGTTCGTACTTCGCAATTCCCATAGTCGCGCATAACCGCGTCGGAAATTAGACGCACGTACGTTGCAGTAAATGAAGTCCGACTGAATAAAAAAGTTTGAACTAAAATGGAGATCAAGAACAATGAATTAAGTAATAAATTTCAGATTTATTTTCTTTATTCTTAGAATTAGTAAAAGATAAATAGTAAATTAAGCACAGAAATTAAAATTATCCGTACAACACAATTGCTTGCAGCAGCACTGCTGCAACTTTTGTCGTAGTACCGTATGGGTAATCTTACATCGGTATAAGCAAGCCTATAAAGACAGACGGAGAAGTCGTTTTCATAAAGTTTGCAAAATTGATTTGCGATCAATGCGATCATTCTGTAACTTGTAACGAAAATTCGGTATCGTTATACTGTCGTTGCGCAGGTTTTATACCATGTAAAATATCTGCGCAACGACATCCGTAGCTAGTAAAATTGTCGTTAGATTTACAGAATAGACCTACTCGATTAATTTGATCGATTGTTAATACAAATTGATAAAATTTTGCCTACAACAAGACAATTCGTTTTCCTATGCGTGAATAAAGTTTCAGCTGCATTATATTCGCTTCTTTCAATGTAAATTAACAATAATCTCGGTTTAACTGACTCCTTTATCTTTTTCTTAAAACTGATGAAAGATAAAACAAAGTAAAGTTAAACCAAAATTAATGCTACGTTGATAGAAATGGACATAAATGAATTATAATGAGCGTTACTTACAATTAGTAAATTAACTGATGGTTGATCTTTTGGAATTCGATCGCGATCCAGCTCTGTTAGGAGCGTCTATCTCTAACACAGCCATTCGAATTACAACGTTAGAAATGGAATGTGAAAATTGAAGAAAAGTCAGGTGTATTTCGAATCTCGACATATTAACTTACCCAAATTCTCAAAAAAGAAAATGTTCGGGAAGACACGTGACGCCCACAAAGCCAACCTCAGACACACTGCTGTTTCTGTAGTTTCCGAAATCCGCGGCGCCGCCGTCGACCGAATGCGGTGAGATTGGCGAGAACCGAGGAAACCATCGAATGCGCTGCGCGCGCATATACATGCATGCGGTGGGAGTGGGAGAAAGGCAGCGCATGCGTGGACAAAACGCACAGATCAGCCGCATCCTTTCCGATTTTAAATTTTAATCACGGATTTCACGTGAACGGATTGTCATTTTTTTTTTTAATGCCGCATACAAAAACAAATAGTACTTTTTCATATTAATAGCAAATGTTTTCAATTCGCACTGTATCCAAAGATTTTGTTTTAATTAATAAATCAGAAATACATACAGCTGGGAGAAAGTGGAGGGAAAATAAAATTTTAAAGCATGTTATTAAAACATTTTCAAAATTATCGGAATTATATCCTGAACTTTCACATATAATTCGCCTCTCGCCGAATCTGTGTTAACTTTTTCACAAATCTGGCATCTCATTATTGCATTGTTTCAAAACAGTGATATGCAACTTGTGAATTTTTTATACGTCAGCTTATAGCCAAAAATATAAAATCATATTTTCTATTTTATATTTAAACAACATTTCAAAACAAAACATTATACAGCCTGAAAGGCTTTATCCGTCTCTAAAAATGCCTTTTGAAAATTTTCGACCATTAAAAAAAGTTGCGCCTCACTGTTTTAAAGTATTTTAAATTGATAAATTGCGTAAATAAATTCGAGGATACACATAACGTTTGTACAAAACCGCTCTAATGAGATTACTTTAAGATTCGCGAATGGTCGAATCGCATATTTTCTCGCCGCATATTTTATTATAAAACATATAAATATTATCACAAAGTATAAAACGAAAACCATACGTCGTACAATTTTTTAAAGAAGCAATCTTCGATACACAATCAATATCACAACAGCGCAGTCGTTTCGATTTGCTCCTTTTTCTTTCACTTCAATCTCACACATAATTATTCTCCTTCTCGGCAAAATTGTTGATACTATGTCGCTTAATTTTGGAAACCTGCGCATAAATGTAAAAAATTGATCCGATAATACTCGTACGAAACACGTTACACACGTACCAAGTTAAATGGTTTAACTTTCGGTGTGATTCTATTAGTTTCCTTCAGCGGACTCTGCTGTTTTGTTTTCCCGACATTTTTCTTCTCACTCATTGGAGAGTATCGCTGAAAATTGATTGAGCTCCTGTTCAAGCGCTGCGGAGACTGCAGATTATTCGTATTAAGCGAATAATGCCTCGGTGGCGTCAGGAACTTCGGAATATCGTCCATTTGCTGACGCGTAGGTGTCGTACATTTCTTTGGCGTTGGCAACTTAGACATTCTAAAACATAAACGAATTCGATTCTTACAGCTTCTTCCTATTTAAAAATTTTTTCCTTCCTTTTGAAGTAAATGATAAGCTAAAGAAGCGATAATTATTTTAAATTGGCTCCTCTCTTTTATTTTTGATAAATGATAAATTAAAGAATGATAATAAAAGAAGTGATTGGTTTAAATCGGTTTGCTCTTACCTTTTAGGACTGTCCTTTCGTTCATTGCTCCCGTTCATGTTTACATATGTAGTCACCGGCGAGATATCAAAGGAAAGGTTACGCTTTTTATTAGCATTGTTCAACGGTACGATCTTGCTGTTTTGGCCGTCTGGCGTTGACGAGGCTATCGGTTTGGATTTTGATTTCTTAGGCATGTGATAATTATCTATCGAATTTGGGGTGCTGCTGATTATTTTATTACTCGATGGAGTAGCCTTGTCGGATTTTGGTGGTGTAATAATTTTAGAAAACGAAGCCTGTTTCTCGAGTGATACTACATTGTTGTAGAAATTAGCAAATTATAATATTAGTTAATAAAACATTAACGCTTAGTTGCAAATTATAATAAAAATTATAGCAATTTTTGTATTTTGTTTATTTTAATAATTAATTCTATTTAATAAGCATTTGAGAATATTATCAATTAATCAAGTTTTCTCGAAATATTTAAACTGATTTAAAAAAGGGAAACTTACCTCTTCTTTTCTTCATATTATCTACAGGATGCACTGCTTTTATAGGACCTTTTTTGTTGACTAAATCTGATTTTTTTTTCAGTTTATTTTTAACTTCGCTTATAGCAATGGATCTCTCTTTTTCTTTATTAGACTTTGCAACTTCCACTGAAATTTATTTTAAAACGTAATCGATTATCTATATGATATATCTGAATGATCATTTAATAACAATGCACAGAATATATAATACAACTTACCCTTTCTTGTGCTGTACGTTTCAGTCACAAGTTTTTTATTTGATAAATTGTTAATAAAACCAGGATCGCTTGAAAAACGTTTCTGACGATGCTCTAATTCAGATGTATTCTTACGTCTGTGTATTTGCCCGTTCTTGGGTGACGACTCAATTGTAGATACACTTCTTCTATCTATCTTCTTAAATGGCAAAAATACAATTAAGAAGACAATTAAAATTATCGTAGAAGATAAAATAAATATTTACTTACTTTAGATTTAAACTCTAAGCTTCGTCTATGCGCCACCTTAGTGGTGGACGAATGTACATTGCGACTAGTTTCAGGAGGATTTTGTACAGACGTAGTCTGTTGAATATTCTGCTTTTCAGTATAATCTGTTTGTATTTCATTTTCAGTGCTATTTAATGCGGTATTTAACGCTCTTCATATATTTTTAAGTAACTTTATTGTCATAGCATCTTCAGCCTGGCCACTCAATAATTTTTTCAAATTTACTAACAGTTCTATCGCTACCTTTTTATCCACTTGATTATCTTTTTCTTTACGCTTATTGTGTTCTGATAAGTTAGATGTACTCATACAATCTTCGCTATTATCTTTACAGGATGAAGACATATTTGATTTCTCAATGTTAACAATATTTTGTGATGCATCTTTCGACTTATTTATGTCTGGCAGCGAGTTTTCATCATTACAAAATTCTGGGGACAATATTTTACAATCTTCTTTTTCGTTTTTATCTGTACTCGATTTATCGAATCTTTCGATACTTTCCGAGGATATTTTCTGGGAACTTTGTGATTTATCTGACATATTGAAATAAGTTACTAATAATTCTGTATTATTTTTATAATTAATATCTAAAATATTTTCTAAATTATCGAGTAATTTTTTAGCTTCCGGATTACTTTCTTTAACTAATTTTCTAAGATCTAATAATAAGGAAGTTATGTTTTGTTTTACAACAGAACTATCAGTTAATGGTGATTCCATTTCCTTAAATATATTCTCTTCGGCGCTATCGATACTTGCAGGAGATTGCTTTGTATCACTATTTTTAATATCTTTTAAATTGTCTTCTGACGACATAGGTAAATCAATTAAATCATTTACCACAGGTTCATCCTCAAATGCCGGTAGTAATTCTGACATCCACATAGTATTATTTGAAATAAAATCATCTTCTGTATTAGCTGATAAAAGAAAGAACAATGAAAAAAGAACTACTAAGAACCTAAATTAATCGAGAATGTCACAATAAATACATAAAATACTTACATCCAGAATCAGTTTTTGATGCCAATTCCTCAAAAGTTTTTGCAAGTACCTTGGCCTCACTTAGTATTGACTTATCGGCTTTGCTCTGTAATCAATTTTTATTTTCTGCTTTAATATGAAATAGTTAAAAAATAAATTATTTTTGTGAAACTGTATATTTATGTTTAGATGTTGAAATACTAAATAATAAACACAAAATTAAACTTTTTTTTTCTAAGTAAATCTAAATGCTATACAAAATATAATTGTATTAAATATCTTACAGTGAATACAGAATCTGAAGAACAAGTAGAAGATAAACTTCTGTTAAATTCTTTATTTTGTTCTGGAACAAATACATCGACATCTATTAATTTATTATTTGCGGTTTGTTTGATATTTTCCTGTTTTGCAGAATTCGAGTTTTCCTCCGTTATTCTCGAAATATTGGTTGTATCATTCATAATGCATTTCAATTTGTTAAGTCTTTCCGCCAAGTCTGATAAGTCATACTGCTTCAGCTTCGTTTCCATAAAACTTTCAGTTGTACTCATCTTATCCCGATCCATTTTCAACAAGCCATCATCCAAAAAAGCACGATTCATAGGATCATTCGACAGTATCGATGACGACAGTGAAGCAGAAGTCAATTTTGATATGGACGAAATATTTGATAAACTGGATAACACAGATTGTTCACTTCTACTCTCTAAAAAGCCTCTGTCCAGGAAGGTTGACATAATGCTGTTGTCACTCTGCAAAACTTTCCTCTGGTTATCTGTTACAGATTGTGATCTTCTATTCTTATACAGTAATCCTGTTGGTGATTTTCTAGATCCCTGTGATAATGAACGCTGAATATCTGACTGCTTCAAATGTTTGATGTTTGAAGGAAAAACAGATTCTTTGAATGACTTGTCTTTTTCTAGAAAAGGTGACACTTTATCATTCTCCTTAGACTTAGGAAATCCTTCCAGTAACGTGTCATTCATTGCAGACTGATTTAAGATAGATAGCTCGAGTGAGTCTGGGGCAACAGAAATCTTACGTTCCTGCTTAGAGAAAGATACACTATCTGCTGCATCGTTGTCACAAACGTCAGTATTTTTCACATCGATACCAACGTTCTCCGTCTTGATCTTCGCTTCTCTTTTGTCTCTGTTGAATAAACCGAACCTGCTTTTGAACAACGACTCGTCGAGCATACTCGATGTCTTGTTCATCATTTTGAAATATTTCTTTTTCCTAGGTGTAAAGTCGTCTGTAAAGTCCACTGATTGTGCGTTTCTCAAACTCTTAGATCTCAAAGCTCGTTGCAACATCACCTCGAAGGGATCACCCTTCTTGCTGACATATTCGGCAGTCTCATGCAACACTCGGTCGAATGGATTGTTACCATCGCCTTCACGCTTCTCCGTCGCCGACTCCAAGCCCACTCCATCGTTGCACTCGACACTCTTCGGCACCGGAATCAGCGGTGACGCCAACTTTGCTGGTTCCAGCATTCCCCTCACATCAGGACTGTTCAGGTCTATCAAATCGCACATTCTGATCTCAAGTCTGTCTCGCCAACCGTTCGGGAGATCCACCGGTGTTTATGGTTTCGCACAGTCGCTAATAAAAAGGAAAAAAAAAACAAAAACAAAAAGAAAGTCGACATACATCTGACGAACCTCGTGAATCGTTTCTAGCTGCAGAGTTATAGACTTGACTTATTACCTCGCTCCGTTCTCTGATTTGATGAATTCTACGAACATTACAATCCACGCGAAGGACAATGTTTTCTGTGATGTTTCACTTGATTTATTTATTTATGTTGTGTGTACATACATATGGTCCGCAGACTCCCCGATATATGATCCACGCGGTTTACGGTTACTTTTAAATCGCAACGGAATTGCCGGGCGCCCTCTGTCCAGCTGGCCGGAAGAGGTACAGGTGTCGGCGGGATCAGTCCTTTGATTTAAAAACGTCAATGGCCGTAACGAGAAATAGGAAGTCGTTAAATTCATATTTTGAACTTACATAACTCGCGTGACAAAACTATTTTCATAATTCTATAAACGTATAATAAAAAATGTTTTATCAATTAATGAATAAACAAGGAATGCTTGATATAAATAAGCTTTTATTTTGCACAGGCTCGTGTAATCACATTTTTTTCTCATTTCTTTTGGATATAATTTATTTTATAAAAATTAAGTACACAGTAGCATACATGTACAGAAGTATATAAATAATCGTTATTTTTTTCGCGTAATCATTATCCTCAGGCAAGATGTAAGGCACATATATTCATTCGTGTCGTTTGAGTACTACCCTAATATGTACAATGGATATTTTCACTAGCTTCTGTGTTAATTCACAGATTGTGAATTGGAGTACTTTCGTAAGCCAAACGCTTAGATAATTTATTAGAAAAGTTTTATACACTTGTATTTACAATTTTTGTCTTTTGCTGCCATACGCTAATATCAATTATCAAAATAAAATTTTATCATATCTCGTTCTTGTTCACCATATAACGTTTCTTCTCAAAATAACGTTTTATATATATATACAATTTTGATAACAAATTACTGTCAGAGATATCATGACATATAATATTGCATTAGTTATAAATAACATACTTATATAGTAAATTGTTTTTTCTTTTGCAGCTAGGAAAACACTTATAAAAATAACAGGCATACACACCAAGATAATGTTAACAATATATGACTCAAAAAACGTCTTAATTATTTGATTAAAAAGGATATTACTAGTAAGTCTATATTCGTAAAATGACACTACCTTATTTTCAACATTCGCGAATAGTTAATGTAACTATACGTATCATGTATCCTTAAGTTATGTACTTTAGAAATACATAAACTTTTAGTATAAAATTCTTAAAAACTAGTTCGCTTGTTAAAGTGTGTAAAGGGATAGAAATCATGAAAAAGGGATAAAAAAAATTACTAAACAATATTATTCAATGCTCACTAGTTCACGACCGTTAAGTAGATATGTAACAGTTGAGTTCAGTTATTTCGCAGGTACATTAATTTAATTTCACATCTACTTAACGGACAAGGGTATCAATCAAATTCTTATAAAAAGAAAGATAAAGACAAAGCATATATCATAGGATGCAGACAGATCGATTTTACTTTCTAATTATGCACTCTATAAAATGGGACTATTTCGGTTGAAATACTGTCTTCGTAGTAATAAACAGAAGAATTGAAAAAAAAAATATCTCTTTATAATTTATATAATACTATACTCGATAACCATTATATTAAATTTTTTATACTGAATATAAAAAATATATAATACTTGCCAAGAAATCTGCGACGTTGCAGATTTTTTTCCGTGTGCAAATTGCGTGAAATGAATCCCAATCTACAGTAGCGCGGATATATTTGAGCATATCTACTTAAGACACCCTGTAAATGTCTTGCAACAGTCTCATCGTTGCGATAATAGCTGAACGTTAATACAGTCTATAAGTTACATTTTTCAATGAGATAACGTATCGACAAGCCCTTACGTTTCCCCCGCAAAATAAAATTAATATGTTCGTAAGTTCGATCAACGGTGTAAACGTCCGTCTTCGAGGATGCGGGTCGGGTCGGGTCGCGTTCTTACCGTCTATAAAACAGAGATATAGCTGCAATCATTCTCACAAACGTTGTTCGATAGGTAGCGGCCCTTGGCGCAGAGACGACGGCTCGCTATGTGACGTGACGTTCACGTCAGACCCAGCTGCGTCGCCGTTGTTATGGCCGTTGTTGCTGCCATTGTTGTTTTGGCCGTTTAGAAACGATGTCATTTCCATCGACGATTGTTGTCCGCTCTGGATTTAGAAACATGCGTGTTCGTTCGCTTCTTTTTTCAGATCTAGAGCGTGTAAGTGGTAACGTGCGTGTGTCGCGTTCGGAAAAACAAAAGAAAAGCGGCTCCAGAGAGAGTGCAGAGAGCGAGTAGAATTAAAGAGCAGCGCGCGACCAATGCTAAAACTAGAAAAGACTAGTCTCCTTAATATATCGGGCAATTTAATGTCGAATTTACGCTTGTTAGACGAGAGCAGAAGTCGATGTCGATACTGAAATATCTTGCTTATAAATGCAAAACTAATTCAATGTTGTTAAAGCGATAGAATTTTTATGTATGCGATTAACATGTACTTTTCCGCGCTCGTCTAGAATCGTACTGACTTCCGGAAGGAAAGTAAATGACTGATTAAAGTTGAGCAACAAGTCGAGTATATTGCACCCAAAGCGAGCGCAGCTATAGAATTGAAAGCTTGAAAGCGAAATTCAGTGATTTCTCATTATCGATGAATCAATGCAAAATGACCGAATTCAGTTCCGTTACTTTCTTTCAGTGAAATAAAAGTGCAAATGTTGTTACTTACAAATACTGACCTTAGGCTGCATTATATCTTCGGACGTGTCGAGACCGGCTAGCGGATTGGATGTAATATTAATCTTAGAGTCTGTGACCCCACCGTTAATTACTCGTCCATTTGTTATTGGTTTACCTGCCCGTCAAAATAATAAAAGAATATGTTATCTACATTTAAAATTATGAAAAAATTCCGTTTTATCAATTTTTTTTTCTTCAAAACACATACCTTCACTTTGCGATTCCTGACTTTGCTTATACTTGGCTCTTTTGTACAGGAATCTCGCTGCGAAGGCAAGAGCGACCAGAATGACCGATGCTCCAAATACTCCACCGATTATGGCATGTATACTAACATTCTTGTTATTCTCGCTCGGTCTCAATTTATTTTCCGCCACGACTTGCTGAACTGGATGCTGAACAATGAGCTTTAGAGTTTTATGTCGCAATATTTGAGAAAATTCTGATGCTGCGTCTACAGAGAAACTTTGAATTTTGAATTCATATGGAGTATCGGGTTGTAAGTGGGCAATGGTCACGTTGGAAGCTTCCTTTCCCTCGACAGTGGTTTTCAAATATTCACCGGCTGAGGTAGACGTTCGATGGTATATGTAAAACCCGTCGATTTTTGCTGATCTGTTGGGATTTTGCCAAAGCAACAACATCTCATGTGGCCCTAACGCTTCAACGCGAGTCAATAAAGGTATTGGCATTTTAGTGCTTTCAATACCGGTATCCTTATGGAGATGGAAACGTACAGAATTCTTACTCAACTTGTTATCGTTATTCGAGTACACCGCAGCGATTCTAAATCGATAAGTATGCTCGGTTTGCAAGTCGGCCACTTCGAAGGACCGCACATGATTCGGTATCTCAGAGTTGGCAGTCATCCATTTGTTTGCCTGTTTGCCACTCATCTTCGAGCCTATCTCTCGGTATTGAACTTTGAAAAACTGTATTGGCAGGCCCGTGTTCTTCGGTACTGTCCATCGCACCATAACGGAGATATCAGATAATCTTGTGATGATGGGCACATCGGGAGGATTCAACTCGATTTCTGCTGAAAGGACAAAAAATTTAATAGAAAGGGGATCTATCTTTTAATTAAAATATAAAAGACAATAGAATCAAAATGAATGTCATCAATATGGAAATATAGAATATAAAAAAAAAGATGAAGAGCATGATCACTTTTTATAACGATATTTTCAATAATGTATAATTATGTAATTCATAACAATAACAAGTTGAGTGAGAATTCTATATGTTTCCGTCTTCATATATCAGTATTGAGAGCATTAATTTTCATGGTACTCGTAATTCTTTTTGCTTGTACATTAAGGCCGTGTTTAAATATATACTGTCAGTACAGTTCACGTTATGTATATTATAAATTTGCAATACTGACAATGTCCGGCCTAACTAATTAGAGCTCATATATCGAAACAGTAAAATTATCCACCAAAGGCTACACCATTGAGTCAATGGTGGGCGGTAAGCGTAGGGAAGGCATCGTTCGGAGGAAAAGTGATAAAAACAACTAGCTTGCTCGCGCTGCTGCCTTTGGAGGCTCACGAGCTCTGACCAGGGGCTCCGCCCCCCAGACCCCCACGCAAAAAAGTTCGATCTTCTTGCTTTATACATGCATATTTAATAAATCAACCTGGGTGCTATCTGTATAATACAGAGATTGGCTATAATAAAGAAAAATTCGGCATTATATTCACAATTAAAAAGAAACATTAGAAAAAAAATATTAAATAAAATTAATAAAATTAAAAAAGCGCTATAATTTTTCAAATTTTTTTCAATTTCTATATGTAATTTTGTATTCAATTAAGAATCTCAATTCGAAACGTCAAGTTGATTATTATCAAATCCATATGTTAAAATTAATTATGAAAAAGAACGCAGTTAGAACTAAAACCCCGTTAAATTCTAATCTTACAATTGTTAATAAAAATTATGAAATCTGCATTTCTCCTAAATTTCTGAAAGAAAATCGTGCTAAAGGGACTTCATCGGCGATATCTCAGCCAAACGTTTGATAAAATGATAAGAAAATATACGAAACGGTGATAACACAAAACAAATAATTACCTCCGTCTCCCTTCTTTTTTGCTTCTTTATTTTTATTACGTCTACCACCGCCCCTGGTATGCTTATGCCTTGACATAGTTCCGTAGTTTGGCTTCAATTCGGCTTTGCCGCCGACAATATGCTCTTTCGGTTGAACCTGCAATAGGTTGTATCCTGAATGCGACCCGTAGTCGTTGCTGGCGACGCACTGAACAATCCCGGCGTGCTTCTTCTCAACGTCGGATATAAGAAGAGTGGAGCCTATCATCTCCTGTGTCTTACTAGGCATCAAGGACTCTCCATTGATAAGCCATTCGACGATTGGTTGCGGTTCGCCTGTTACGTTACACGAGAGCTGCAATTTTCCACCTTCGTGGAATTTGCACGCGCTCGGCTGTCTCGTGACCCTCGGTGGTTCCATCACTTTTAAAATAATTACTGATTTTACGAAATTGTGAATATCGTAGGTCCACAAACAATCATATTCCCCGCGATCAGACGGTTGCACATGGACCAATGTCAAACCGATGGATGATTCCACAGTCTTTGATGATAAAGAGCTGCCTAGACGACTCCAGGTGACTTGTGGCACAGGGTAACCAGCGCCGAAACACTCCAACGTAATGTTCTTGCCACGCGTAACTGTGTATTCAGGTTGCGGATGCTTGATGAAATACGGCGTTCGAAAAGTTAAGTTCGCGTGTACCGTCAAAATGGTCTTATGATTGCTTGTGAATGTTACCATCGTTAAATAATTGTTAACGCTACAATAGTATGATCCACTGTCCGCCAATTTGACATCTTTGATGACCATGGTTTTGCCATTCGCTACATTCGCATCCTTGATGAGCATGTCGTTCTTATAAAACTGCACTATAGCTTCTGGTTCGGAATATGGTACGGGACATGTGATGGGCACGGTGTTACCTTCCGCCACCTCGATGTAAACATCGTTTTTATCGAAAAACTCTTGTATTGTCGCAAGCGTTAGTCTCGCTGGATCCGACACTAATCCACTGCTACCTGAGAGGAAATTAAAAAAATATATATATACACACATCTCTTGGTATAGAAACCAAGATCTCTCTCGTAGGTAGCACAATCTTAATGCTTGCGTTAAATATAAAACAAAGTATAATTAAATTAAATAAAATAGAAAATTTTTAAAGCTTCCACGGAAATTTTCTATACAGATGTTATACGTTTTGCGAGTTATCTCCCTGCCCAAATTCATTATTAGAATGCCAACGTTTCGTGAACATTACAGTTCACGTTATCAGGATGAGAAGTCTGAGAGTATCAACGAAACGCATAGCTTCTGTAGATAAAAAAAATAGATTATAGATTAAAAAAGTATATAAAATATAAATTTTCGGGATGACACTCACCGAAGAAAGCAATGCAACGGTAATCTCCGGCCTTCGATACGTTGTCAAAGGAGACAATGAGCCGAGACGTTTTGCCACCAGTATTGCTGTAAGTATCAGATGATAGTGTCCATTTGTTCGAACCCAGAGGCCTGTGATGCCAAGCGAAACGCTCCGCAGGGATGTTGAGACTACATTCAAAGTTCACGTCATCATACAATGGAACTGCTAGGGGTTGAGGGTGTCGAGTAAAGGACATATTCATCTCAGGAATCTTGTCGTTCTCTGTCATTATCAAAAGCATCATTATTATCCTCTTTCAACACGGTGCTCAGAGTATATTTACGTAACACCGTTCCAAGAAACTTACCGCATGTATATGCGATCGGACTGTAAAGCAGGATAACGATGATGCCACATAAAGAGGAGATAGATGTCATCTTGACACATTCTGCAAGTACGAAAGAAGACAGTGCTATTACGTTAACCAGGTAATTTGCGTTCTATTAATTGTTTTTCCAGTCCTTCGTTCGCGGGATAGCAAATATGCGGCTCGCGGAGTGTTGGCGAAGACCTACTAAAATTAATACCGAGCAAGCACACCGTTTAAGTTTAGAACGCCCGTGTTCACGAGAAAATAGAACGCATTTTTCATCCTAGAGACACGAAATGGTAACGATAGAAATAGAGGAATCCAACGTTCAGGAATGTATGATGTGTTCATGCACATAAGAATACAGAATATAGCAATAAATTTCTGACGAGTTGGAATTCTGTGTCTATCACCTTATAGCCTACTAATTAGCATTCAGATTTTTCATTTTGTTTATATGCGCTATAATCTTGAAGCAGATGGAAGAGTAGATATGCTACAGTCTATAAGCGATCAAGATTGGTTGGCCTTTTATTTATTTATTTTTTTTTTGCAGCGTTGTGCAACGGGAGGCGATAATTATCTACATATCGCTTATTTGTATACTATTTCTATCGCTATTCCTGTCGCTGTTGTTTCGCGTAGCAAAGTCTAAGACTTTAGACACAATAAAGTACAACATATGCGTTTATCATTCTGAAGTTAGGAAAAAGCGGATAATATTTAATATTAAATATTAAATCTCAAAGGAGTTTTTCCGTCGCAATACACTTTACAATCCTTACAATATAATAATAAAAAAAAATTATTATACTGATAAAGTTTATAAAAAGGAAAAGAAGAAAAGAGAAAAGAAATGCAGCGATTAAAAGATGTAAGCAAAAGAACAACCCTTCGAATTACAACGACGAATGAAACGAGCAATGAAATGTAACGGGTTTTTATTTGCCGTGTAATGATAATGAGAAAAAGGGAATCGGTGGTGAGACTGGGTGACGCGTGGCTGTCTAGAAAATATCCATATACGGCGTCGAAAGCTGCTGTTCATTGCGCGAACCGTTTTACACCCACGTGCCCTCTCGTGCGTGCGAGGCCATCAGAAAAGTATACACTCGCGCGCAGCACGCCCGCGATGGCGAAGAGCGACGGTAATAATTCTTTTTCGTCGAGCTACATAGCGCTACGATATGCTGCTATACGCGCGTAGGTATATCCATTCACATCACGGATCGCGACGTCGTACTACGCACCCACACGCTTGCCTTAATGTGTATGAAACTATCGCGTTGACTTTTCCCAATGGCGGAAAAACTTGGTGAACGAGAACGCACCTCGAGGCGATATTAAGATGTTTGATGCACGAAGAATATTTTCTTCGAATCTGTGATTAAAATGCACAACGACTATACTAATCGACTATTATATTTCGTATAATTTTTTTCATTTTTTCACCAGCACTAGTAATATTAAACACAAGTGATTAATATGTTGACATATCTCTTTCTTTAATTCAATATTTAATAGAAGACTTCAAAATATTAATTTTAAATAATATTTCATTAATTGAACAGTTATCCGACGCGCATAAGAATAGAAATTGGCGCTGATTGAAAAAGAATTATTAACATATTGATCTCATTTAGAAATTATTTTTTGGTCTGTTACTAAAAATGTGATAATTAAAGAACTTTGAATATTCAAAGCCTTCTAGTGTTATATATGATGTAATTTTATGAAAATTTTCAAAATTGTACATGCAGTCTCTATATGTCTTTTCCCTGTATATCTTAATGCGTAGGAAGATAAATCAGATAAAGTAAAGTAAACGAATGAGGAAGAAAATAAAGCGGAATAACGAGAAAAGTATATCTCAAATTTATCATTTCGAATGAGTAAACTTGAGAAAACAAAAAAAGAGAGAGATAGAAAGATTGAAGAGGACAGGGGGTTAATGAAGGAAGAAAGAGGGAGAAAGGAAGGAGACACTTTGAGTGCTGGTAGATTATCGGCGCGGCGGCAGTCCACTGTGTTTTATGTACGAAAGAGACTCTTAACTTCTGGTTAAATGGTAGCATAAATGGCGGTGGTATGTAACAGGTGAGAAGGGCCCGCAAAGAGGCTGGTTTCCGATGTTACCTCTCGTAAAAATAAAGAAGCCGAATTCCAAAGCAGTGGTTGTCCACTCCGCGCCCCTCTTGGCACGGATGTACGAACGCGAGAACGCGTGTACGCACGACCGATGGGTTTGCACGCGCAATCTGCCGCGCCGTAATTGCACCTAATCCGTTCGATGCGCGCCTTCGTATTAACGATGACTTAATCGTCGCGGTGCGTTGAACAGACGGACAGTGTGTCGTACGCTGTAAAATTTACAGAGCGTAACAGAGAAGAGAAAATATTGCGTAATAAAGATTAATTTAAAAAAAAAAAAAAGAAACAGTTGTAGACAATGGTTGCGTTTAACAGAAAAAGCAGTTTAATAAGCACTTTGTACTGATTGGATTATATTTTTAGATCTAGAAGAGAATAGTTCTATCTTAATTTAGATCTAAAAGCATAATTCAATCAGCGCAAGGCGCTTATTAAGCGCTTTTTCTAATGAATGCAGCCATTAGTTAGCAATTAAAAAAATAAGTTACTTAGTAAATGTATTCTTCAAATATCGAGTGATTGCTTATAATCTCGGATATTATAATCATAATATTTGAAGATTTACAATTAATGTGAAAGCTTTTTACGTATAGATCTTCAAACGGCAAGTCAAATTGCCTGTTATATCTTGAATATTCAATTCGACGTGATTTACGTATAGGAAGCACAGAAGCGAGAAGAAATGACCGAGGCTCGTCCCAATAATTCTCTGTGAGAACCACCGAAAAATCTGACACTTCGAGAGATCTTCCGCCCAGAAAATGCTCTGATCCTCACAACGGACTCCTTCCTGTTCTACACGGAATGCCGTGGCCGTGCCATAAATGACTATCCGTGTCATTAGTATTCCAGTGAAGGACCGTCTCTCGCGGTGCATTTATGGGATCGTGGATCGGGGATCGCGATCGCGACGGCGGCAAGGACGGGTTCTCTGCCTCGTTAACAGGTGAGGAGCAGCTCTGAAAGTGAGAAAGGGAATTTTGGAGTAAGTGAGGATATGCATTAGGTTTACCTTTGTATTGAGTTGCCATTTAAGAGATGTAAAAATAACTCACGTTTCACTCAAAGATTTCTAATTCGTGCGGATTCCGACAGATCGTATCTCGTAGCACTTCTATATAATATTCATGGATTTTTCGGTTCAATAATCCGATCAAAAAGTGTTGACTTTGCATTTTTACCTGAGGACGATGCGCGGTCGAGCGAGAGAGAACAAGTTTGCGATAAAGCTGGCGAATCTGAATTTCGTCTCCACGCCCCTCATTTGTCTCGCAGTGCGCTTAATGGAATCGAGGGAGGACGACGAGGATCGCCGTCGAAAACAGGTGAGATAAAAAAAAAAAAAAAAAAAAAAGGACGCCGAGGGAGGTTTCGGAGGACGCTGGCGGAGCAGATGATAACGAATAAGAGGTCTTCCTTTCAGTTACTCCCGTACTCTCCTGCGTGATATCTTGATTCCCCTTTCGCCCTACGACGCCTGAATACACTTGTTTCGTCGGATCTCTTTTACACACTTCCTATCTGCGTTTCCTCCGCACCTGTTTCTCTCTTTTTTCCCCTACTTCTTTCTTCGCTCTCCCGGTACACGCAAGTCTTGCTCCAAGACCAGAGAGAGGCCACAAAAGCAAACTGTTAAGAAAGATGGATTTGAGATTCTTTTTCACGTGTGAATTAAATTTCGCAATTAAATCGTCATCTTCTCCCTCCCCCCCCCCTTCTCGTTTTCTTCCGTGATACGTTTTTAGAAAGAGGGGGGGGTGTGGAGAAATAGGATTTAAAATAGGATAGAATTTATTGTCCGTTTTAATTTTAAAACTCTATATTTCAGGCTTCCTTAAACCCATCTTTAAATATTCTAGTCTAGAGTATCAGAAGATAAATTTAAGGAGCTTCAAATATAAAGCCTGACTATGAATACACATTAAGATACTAACACAGATTGGCTTATGACATCTCAAGACTATACTTAAGACAATCTCAAATACAAGAGTGGAATATCGGGCCTTGAACACGAATTCACCAATGTACGATTAACTCTTAATCTCGATTCAATTTATTTCTTTATCCTTTTCTAATTTTTAGAATTTTAATTTCAGAATTTCAAATTCTGAGAATTAAAAAAGCACAAACGGCGAGTTAAACCGGGATCAAAGTTAATCATCAAATCTTAGATCGGTGAAACCGGGTCTTATAGAAGACTGAACAATAGGTGCGAATAAAGTTAATTCGACGCGGAAGAAAACGCTCTTAGGCCCGTCTCCCAGCCGTATCTCTTCCACACACTTCGCTTCTCCTCTCCTTTTCTCTCTGAGGTTGTGCACCTCGTCTCGCACGTAGACAGTGCAAATAGAACGAGTGTACCCATTCTAAATACCACGAGCGTAATGCAAGGCGGACGGGAAGATCCGGATCTGATGTCCGGGGTCTACAATTCTCTACCGTGGAAACGGAAATCTCCGAGAGAGTGGTGATCCGGTGTTAGAGTGCTCCCTTTCCGACACGGAGCGACCAAACGATCGGACGCGAGCGGTTCCGAGCGGAGGACCGGGTTCACGATCGCGCGATCGATCGATCCACACCGGGGTCGAGATCATCCGTCTAGAGAAAGAAAGAAAGAAAGAAAGAGAGAGAGAGAGAGAGAGAGAGAGAGAGAGAGAGAGAGAGAGAGAGGCGCAGAGAAAGAAAGAGAAAGAAAGAGACAGAGAGAGAAAGAGAGAGAGAGAGAGAGAAGTGGCGTGCTCACCCTTTTTCTCGATCCGGCCGCACACCGACCGAGGTCGACGCCGAAAGAGAGGATATCCTTGCGCCCTGAGCGTCGCTCGCCAACTCACGAGATGTAATACGGGATGCGTGCACCGGAGACGTGGCCGCGACGCGGTCGTCCGCGTGCGCTCCTCAGTGTGCTCCTTTGTGGAGTGTTGGCTCTTTCACGGGACGCTGCTTCCTCCGTGTGCGCGACGACCCGGTTCACCCTCGTCTACTTCATGTTCGCGCAGTTGGCGTGAACTCAACGGACGGTGACGCCGAGCAGCGGACGAACGATCGAAAACGCGTCGGTGAAACGAAACGGGACGGGAACGGGACGCGCTTGACGACGAGACCACGCTTACCGCTGCTGGCGGCGGCTGCTGCTGCTTGGCGTTCACCGGCGGCGACACTGGAATGCAGACCGACAGGTTTTGAACCGCGGCGGCGGCGGACTCGTGGTGGAGGGATGCCGCCACGGCGACGGCGACGTGGTGGTGGTAATAGTGACGACACGACGTGGCCAGCCTGGAAGCACTGGAAGCTGCGGCGACCTGCGTTCAGTTTCGATACTTTCAGAGCTTTCAGCGTTCCTATCTTGTTTTACTTGTTTTACGTCGAATGAACGATAAAGATAGAATGATAAAGTGTTCAAAGCGCGTAAACGTACACAAACTAAACACAACTGATACAGGGGATCCGTTCCTCGTAACTACGTCGTGTTACTATCTCCTGAACTTGAGTGAAACGAACATGCGATTAGATTCGAAGAGAAAAAGGAAAAGAGGCGAAAAGGTTCTACTTACGAACTTTTGAAGTCGCACGCGAGCTTCCGCTGCATTTATTTTTACATCTTTTCGTAAAGTAAGATAGAGATATACGCGACATTCATGAGAAGAGGAGAGAGATATAATTGAATACATAGTCGCCGCTTGAAAACTAGGGTTTTAGTCTCGTTCAGTTGGTACTTCTGATCACATGATGCAGCGCGCGCGCTTAATTATTTATCGATGTGGATTAATAAACGTATAAATTTGCTACAGAAATGCGTAAAAATCGATGCATACGAGGTTGATATTAAATAATTACATAATAGATTTTATAGATATATGTGCAATTGCATGCAATAATTGAAACATGTTCAGTTTACTAATGATATTTATACTATGTACGCTGTAATATTTTCAAATTCGCTTACAACATACAGCGCATATCAGCGACTGATAAGTTTGAAGTCAGGAACGTATCGCGTTTCAGAATGCAATTTGAATTTCAAAAAGTCAAGTGGCGATGTATTCAACAATTCCATAAAATATACATAGTTGCGTATGAAGTTGGTATATTGAAATAATTTTTTTCCGTTAAATAAAAATAATCGTTCTTCTCTCTATATATATTTTTATTATTGTTAGATATAATTGTGTGATTAACGTATGAAGCGTATTTCATCGAGCGATTAATACTTGCTTGACATTAAATAAGAATTTGTCACCTTCAAATATATTTTTTCCTTATATAGTCGAAATCACAAATATTATGATGCTCAAATATAAATATAACAAATTAAGTTAATTTGTTGATAAAAAAGGACATGCATAAGTTTTGTACCAATATAAATTATAATCATCCATTTTTTTACCTTCTCCGTCTAGACCAAGCCTTTTTACTATTCTAAGCTTTTAAAAATGTGGAAAGATATTACATTTTTCTTTTACATTACCAAATATTTTTTTAACAAGATATTTTAAAAGGAAACTCAGCCCTCCTTTATTTAAAAAAAATTTGAGAGAAAATTTTATTTGTGTTAAAAAAAATTATTCAAATTGAAGGTGGAGTTAAGCTTATAATTTTTATTTAACTTACTTTTTAATCTTTTTTTAGTTCTAAAAATAAAAAAAAAGTATAGTAATTTGGACCGAGATTAAAGTTAATCCAAAATAATTATCTTCTTTTTAAATGTGTGCGTTATATTTTTTATTGTATGTGATGGCGTGGCTATGAGAGATGAGTTGATTATTATGTGAGCAACCCGTATACAGTTTACTAATAATGAATTTTAATTTTAGCCTGAGTCTCTCATCACCACTCAGCTTTGTAACTGTTTGAGTGTGGGTCTCGCCTCATGATTAGCCACGTATCACATACAGGAATTGTTGGAGATATTATTTTGCGATACAATATCTTAACTTGTGGTAATGGATGGATTGTTTGCTGAAGATGACTCGAAAGTTGAAACGTTCAAGGTTTATACGCCAGATATTTTATATTTGATTATTATTAAAATTATTGCTATTGTACAATAACCAGCGCTGACTCCTGTAGCCTTTTTACACTGTTACATTTTCAATTTTTATTAATATATTTAAAGGAGTCTAACTATTTATTAGTTTTAATTCTTTGTCATTGTTAATTATCTTCTATTAAAAATGATAATCAATATATCTATACATGTATATATATGCAGCTTTGATCTTGAACATATCACTTGCAAGTTCCTCGACTCTCACAAGTCTATAATATTATGACAACCAAAGCTGCAAATCAGCAAACTAAATGCGATCTTATTTTAACTGGTAGATATGCGTCGCTCTCAGAATCGGTTATCGTCACCTTGTCATTTCAGCGAAGCTAAATATGACACTTTTTATTTACTATCGAAGAATGTCAGCTGTACATTCATCATCATTTCCTCCTCCAGTGTATCAACAAATCCCGAATATATCGATTAGTGATCCAATTTTAATCAGGTTGTCTCGAATTGTTACATAAATTTTCACGCGTTATACTGATTTTATATCGTTGTGCGCTGTCACTCGATACGTTTCTCTGATTACTTTTTTTGCATTTATCTTCTTCTCTTTTTCTCGATTTGAAGGTCAATGTCCAATGTCAAGTAATAACGTCTCTATACATTTATCTCTAGTATTTAATAATAATATCTAATAATATATATTAGCATAACATCATTTACATTGTCCTTTCCTCAATAGATTTGTTCTTTAAGCTTTTGAATCTTTCATCTTTCTTCTTTTCCTGTCTATTTTATATCTAATTATCCGATTCATTACGATAAAAAGTATAACTCACAAGTAAAAAGTATAACTTTTATCAGTTTATATACAGAGAAAGAACATATTTTTTTCTCATTGAAAGAAGTGCAGTTGAGGACATTCTATCATTGCCTGTCTTCTTTTTCTTCATCATCCGCCACAAAAATGTCGGAGCGGCGCAAAGATGAATCGTCATACCATGCACCGACAAACACTCTGTAATACCAATTTCTTGGCCATAATAAGTAATATATATATATATATATACATATATCTCACTCTTGGAAAAAATTTTCAAATCTGTAAAAGAAAAAAAAGTAATTGTTATATATATAAAAATTGATTATAGTTTAGTCGGTAAAATACACGCGGCTTTAGGATTCTCGTAAAACTTATCAAATATTTGGCTGATACAATTATTAAATTTATGATTTATTTTAATATAAACGTTCCATAAATAAGTATGCATACACTTGCAATATTATTATAATATATCTTATATATTATTGCAAAATTATAATTTTTTTTCTCTCATATTGCAATTATCATCTCAAATCTCTTCGATGTCGATCATTACTTTAACTTATTGAACTGGCCGCGTTGACTTATCTATAAAGTATTGTATATATCCTATAATCGTCGATGTTAGTTTGAAGCAGAGAGGTTTCTCTCTGGTTTGAAGTTTTGCATCATCGCGTCGCGACATCCAACGTTCCATTCCAGATTCCAGATGTTTCTGTCTTTCAGCTCGGCCGCGACCATGATCCGCAATTCCGCATCCATGATTTCGTTGGATTTCGCGTTCCGCTGCCACACTGCCGCTTGTAAAAGATTTGATGATTCCTGAGTTCATCAACCATCTGTGACCGCTGGTGACAGTCTGTGTCCGATACGGAGTGACGGTATCGGCATAATCACCTGAGTTGTCTAGTGACGGTAGCAAGGAGAAAGTTCTGTCGCACCGTTCTGTCAGTTGCGTTACGTCAGGTATGCGTGGATCTGATTCTTCTCAGCTGACTTGAATCTGTAATGATCGCGAGGATAAATGTAGTCCAGCTAAACGTCCAGTTTTTTGTCGCTTATTCTATGTAGAAAATAATGTATTACGCTGAGTAATAATCAAGATCATTTCCTCATGGAGAATTTAAATTAATCTTTAGTTGACGTTACAGTGTTGCTACCAGATGTCACGATGAAGAAGTCGTTAACTCGCTAAGGCATCGCGGATTGACCGAAGATGTCAGAGCCTACAGAAAGTCAGGTGGAACAGTGCGACATAGTCTTGCCGAGACAAGGTCTGCTGTATCAAACAGATGCATTGAATTACATACTCTGTAAGCCAAAGTTGATCCCGTTGAAATCAGTCACATTGGAGAAACTCGAGAAGATGCAGAGAGACGCGGAGATCAAAGTTAAAGAGACGCAAGAAGCAGAGGGTAGTCTTGATGCAAGCTCATAAACATTTAGCGTTATCTAGAGACCAATAGAATTTGTCGGACATCACTGTCATATCAAGTATTAAAGACAAAATGGTACTCGGCGCTTTCCTGACAGAGATCATAGTGGCGTTTCTACTGGCTGGGACTCTACTCTTTAAATATGGAAATGTGTTTCGGCATCACATTGCAGTCACTATTTCCGTGTTGATAGCATGGTACTTTTCCCTATTAATAATTTTCATGTTGCCATTGGATGTCTCTTCGGTAATTATCTGTTTAGATTTGCTATAATTATTTTGCTCTAATTATTGAATGCTTTCCATTTAGATACAAATCAATATAAGTGTTGTTCTATCTTTGTTACTCATGAATATTCAGAAAGAGTAAAGTTTGTGTCTCAATTTGTGTCTTATTTTCACTAAATGGAAGGTATTCATTTTTTTAGTATATAGTCTTTTTATTTTTACTTTACACAGAAGAGTAAAATAAATAAAAGAATATTTATATTTACAGACCGTATTTAGACAGTGTGTAGAGCAGAATATACACAACAATACTAAGGATACCAATAACACAACCTCTGCACCATTTACTACATGTAAAGAGCCTTGGCCAAATGTTCCAGAGAATGTATTTCCAAATCTATGGAGGATAGTTTATTGGACATCACAATGCCTGACATGGTTGATACTCCCGTTGATGCAGTCTTATATAAAAGCAGGAGATTTTACCGTACGCGGGAAGTTAAAGTCCGCTTTAATAGATAACGCTATATACTATGGTAGTTACTTGTTTATATGTGGTATACTCTTGATTTATATTGCGCTAAAGCCTGGCTTAGATCTCGATGGGTGAGTGAAGTTATAATAAGTGTTAAAGTAAACAAAAAAACAATTATATTGTAATGTATAAGTCTTATATAAGTCAGATACAAGTCTTGAAATGTTACTAATGTGTGTAGAAATAAATAATTATAATGTTTACTGTTTTGCAGGCAAAAATTGAAAGCCATAGCATCATCTGCGTCCAATACGTGGGGTTTATTCTTATTGGTTTTATTGCTCGGTTACGCTCTTGTAGAGGTACCTCGAGGATTATGGAACGCCAGCAAGCCTGGGTATACTTTAAATTATAGGTATTTCAAGGTGGCAAAATTAAGTTTAGACAAATGTGAAGCGGAAGAAACGGTGGACGACATACTCGAGGTACAAAATAAATATTTTAACGTTACATTTACGTTTTTAAGAATTGAAAACAAAAACTATAATGAATAATAAATGCTATTTAGTCACTACAAGTTGCAACGATATCCATTGGGCCTGGTCATCCGTTCCATTGCAATCTGGAAACGATCTTTCAAAAAATACCTGCAGAACTGAAAGATAGAATGAACAGAAGACAATTGCCCGATGATACTCCAACGGATACACCTACTGAAAAAGCTCTAATTCGTCTACACAGACAGGTTTGTTAACAGTATATATATGATGACACGCTTTAGCATTTCTATATTGCTATTATTTCTGTTTTAGACTATCAAAGCATTGCAGACTTTACAGCGCATAGAAACCCAGTGGGGAATTTTAGTGGACAAAATATTTAATTTGGAAGATGTAGCGAAGAATCAAGTGAGTCATGATAGGAGATTTAAACAGGCTTTTCCTACGCATCGTTCGCTTCCGTTTCGTATTGTTTACAATCCTGTTGTCGGTAAGCAACATCTCGTTTTGCTTTGTACTTTATTCTGCTGCGATATCATATAGGCTGCGTTCGGTTTTCACGCTCACGCGCTGTAAGGTTCATCCTATCATTATTGCTCGGTACTTGCAGAAAAAAGATAGAATGATGCTTACACCGCGTAAGCGTGGAAAACGAATACAGTTATAATATTTATTTAATAATTTAATTTTTGTAGCTTTCGATTTTGTAATTTTGTCACTTAAATTTCAGAATGGTATTGGAAATGTATTGTAAAGGATTACGTTTTAAAAGGAGCTGCTATTTGCGCGGGCTGTTTATCAGTGGCTGTGGTATGGTCAGAAGTAACATTCTTCAACAAGTCTCCTGTGTTATCTTTATTCGCTCAATTTCTGAATTTAGCAAAAAGAAATTATGATTATTTTACGATAGAGGTAAAGATTTGTGTTTATTATTTCGTACAGAATATACTTTTATTTATATTACGTGCACGTTTTTACTTGATTATCAGGTGTTATCCACATCGATCATCGCATATCTTTGCTATTGCGCCTACTCGACCGTCTTGAAGATACGAGTATTAAATTTATATTACTTGGCACCCCATCATCAAACGAATGAGTACAGTCTTATATTTAGTGGTATGATGCTGTGTCGCTTAACTCCGCCAATGTGTCTTAATTTCTTGGGACTTATTCATATGGATTCGCACATCATCAAAACTCATATACTGGAAACGCACTATACACAAGTAAAATTATTTAAATAATCTAAATTTTTTTTAATTAGTTTCTATCTTTATTGTTTACTTATTGTTTTTTTTTTATCAGGTGATGGGTCATATGGATGTCATTTCCATCATATCCGATGGATTTAACGTATACTTTCCAATGGCAATTCTAGCATTCTGCTTAGCTACATACTTTAGCATAGGCAGTAGATTGCTTTCCATGCTAGGTTTTCAGCAATTCCTTGATGATGACGAATTCACGACGGATCTCGTAGATGAAGGGAGAGAACTTATAAAAAGAGGTATTGACAAGTTATATTATTAATTACACTTTTAACGCGATGTATGTTTTATAAAATGGTCTTTGCAATTTAACTTTGTGTTAATGTTCAATAATATTGAAGAAATAAATATTGAGATAAGAAAACAACATATTTTTTTCTTGTTATAGAAAGACGTAAACGGCAAAGAGCGGAGGATTCTATGTATAGACGACGCGAAATGCAGGAAAGATTTAATATTTCGGTGGGTACGCGTTACAGGACGTCTCGACAAAGTACAGACACTGGTATGTATAATGAAAAATAAATGATACTATATAAGATTATATAAGTAACTTTATCGTTGACAATTCTTTAGTACGGCCGTTAAAACGAGACGAGTCAATCGAATCCGCGAGAGCGGGTCTGTTACACGATTTCGATCCTACGGAATATTACATCGGTATGACATTTGGTGGAGATAGTTATGGTGCAAATCGGTGCGACATGGAAAATCAAGGCGATATTGATTCGTTCGAGCCGAGTAACACGAGGGCATTCTCTACGAGTACAAGTCGCGTAGGTCCTCCACCCAGAGGATTGTTCGATGATATTTAAAATAAATAACCGTATTTTTGTAAATACAGTTTAGGTGCTAGTGTAGAATCCATCAATTGGCTTTTAAGGATTTACACAATATTTATATCGAGCAATACGACGTTTTACGTCGATAAGAAACAACATAATAAATCTTAATTAAACGTGAAATGTAAGGCTTTACATTTCACCTGTAGCATTTTGAATCTGATTACTATGTAGGAGCACGAACTAAAGTAATTGTATCATTTTAAGATATATTTATAACTTATTATATATGAACAAATTGGATTAAGAATGAAAGTCCCGCAGATGTGTTGCTTAAAACAAAAACTAGTTTTTTTTTTTAAATAACATTATCATGGCGGATAGAATCAGTGATAATGCAATGAATGTTCGACTTAATTATTAATATGTATATTATGTTTATTAGGACAAATATATTTTTATTCTTCGACTATTATTTTAAGTTTTGTATAGTTCGTCTTATGTTGGAGCTAATAAATAATTTATATACGATTTTTAACTATATGTACCTGAAATAATTATTCATTAATATGCTTTTTATAAGTAAGATTATACCTGAACATTTTCTCTTATAATAGTTAATCTTGATAACTTCGACTTTCTCAGTATTATATATAATTACAAAAAACTTTCGTTTGTTTGAAAATTTACAAATTTTGTTCTAGTCATTTTATTTTTATTTGTATTGCGAATAGTTTATAAAGTTTTGGAATGGTAAATGGATAGAAATGGTATATAAAAAAATCGATCGAGTGTGACCAACAGGAAAATTTAATAAGAATAAGTCAGTATATAACAATAATAATAAAACGCACTAATCACCAATGTAAATATTTGCAAATAATTTAAAAATTAAAATATCGGAATTTATATTATAAAGGCATTTCAAAATAAATAGAATAATGAAACTTCTAGTGCTAGTTAGAAGTTTTGTCATTTGTTTTATTACAAAATTTATATCTCCCATAGGTACTTTTTTTTACGATCCAAATATATATATTTACAATTTAAGATATATCCATGATTTATCCGAAAATTTCGAAATTTCTAATTAGTTTGTTTCTTGACAAAAATGTACTAAAGCATATCAATTTTATTCATTACATGAATCTTATATGTCGATGAGTATTTATATAAATAAGACATCACTAAAATAAATTCCTGCATTTATAGTATCGTGAGTAAATTTTATAATAGGAACTATTAAATATTTGATATATTAATAGATAACATGACCCAAACAACATAAAGTCTAAAATTGTGACATAAGACGTTTTTGAGTCGTCTTTTAGACACAAAAAAACGTCTTATGACCCGATTTTAGACACTTTTTGTTATCTGGGGAAGCGAGTTAAATCTTCGGACTTTTGAGATTACGGTTCGAGTACGTGTCTCGAATAACATTTTTTTTAATAAACTTTAATGAATATTTAAAACGAGTATATTGCTCTGTAGAGTTTAAAGATATATATAAAATATATTTATGAGAGCTTTATGCGAGCTTGTTAACATATTGTACATTTTTGTTACGCGTGTAATTTGATAGAGGTTAAAACAATTATCATAGTGATGCAGATTTAACAATTTGTATACTACAGAACAATTTCTTGTCATTAATAAATTAATGAAATTACCTCATTGATAATGGACATAAAACATATACATATATAACGACAAAATATAAATCATGCCTACATGCGATCTTGATTCTGTTAAATATTTTGGTGACAGCACTTCGTAACAAATGTAACGTAAAATTAATGACAATAAATGTATCACGTAACATTCGAATGTAATTAAGTTTTTCTAGATATCTCATCACAAATTTAACAAACAGCCATTCTAGGTTAAATAAACGATGTAAAATGTAATGCTCGTAAGAATAAGAAACGATAATGCGTAGATCATTATTATTTTGATAATTTTTGTGCGTTCTGATTGCGAAATCTTATTTTTAGTATTTTCTCGGTGTTCAGAATCAGTTGATTCCGGCATTAGCAGCAACGGTTCCAGCAGTAATAAACTCGACCTGTTTCTTCGGTGTTCGTTGGTATGATCATCCTTCGATCGGTAGACCTGATAAACTAGCGGATCCTGTGAATCATTATGGCTAATCTGTTTCGTGCTGCTTATCAGAGTGCCATAATCACGATAAAATGTCATGGGTGTGCAGCCGGCTCTCGATGTTCTTACGTGATAGTTAATTATACAGCGATGATACAATTGAGTATTCACTACGAGATTGCAACAAGTACGATTTACAACATTGATGCTCGGCTTCAACAGCGATTGCAGATCAAAGATGTCTCGGGGCCAGCAATGAGAATAAAATATACCCGCGACGTTAGTTTTCGTGTAATTGTAGACTAGCATATAATCTCGATTTTGATCGTATCGCGAGCAGAAAATATCCTCGGAATCCTCGCGCGGATACTTGAAGCATGAAACGTCGTCATACTGACACAGAATTACCTCTATGGCGAGCAACGACTCTTTCGTATATATCAAACGATCAGTGTATACTGGACTGCCCTTTGTTCTCGCGCACTTTCTGCAAATTGTATGTCGTGGTAAGAAAAGCGTGTCTATTAAGGTTTTCGCTGTAGTGGGGCTATATTTCTCGTAGTAATCTTGAATGTCGTACTCATATAAACTATTGCATGGTTGCTTAATCGCTCTAACTTCTTCATAAACATGACCGACATTCGATAGGTCTTGAACAGTAGCTTCGTGGTTTCCAATCATCACCTGCTGTTGATTGCAGTTTTCAATTTTCCACTCACTATCAGGATATACCTTATCTCTTGCATCTAATGAAATCTTTCTCGAATCGGACGAGCTACTAAAATTTGTGCTATCGCATTTTTTATCAATCACAGAGATCGATCCTTTCTCAGTGGCAATCAGAATATCATTTTTTGCGGATGTATTATCAGTAGCGACTACAGATTTGCAAATTTGCATGTTCGTTATATCTACCTGCGGGATACAATATGCGTGTGTTTCTGGTGTGCGCGGTGTCGTTATTGCTTCAGTGAAAAAGCTCACATTCGTGTCATCCACTCCACAGTTTTTGATGTTACTACGTCTCGCTTCTAATTTTAATTGCTCTAAGTGCAGCTGATAGTGATGAACACACGCAAAGTTATATCAATTCCTAGAGCTCACTCGTTCGCTTCGCAATTCCTGTCTGATCTTTTGTAAATCATAGAGAACCTAAATTCCAAACAAACAAGCACTAAATATTATATACAATATAATGATATTGTATACAGACATTCTTAATGATTTGTAAATGGTAATCTAACAAAAAATCTAAAACTAATCCATAACCATCATGACAAATACAAAAAAATACCGTAAGAAGTTAATTCGCTTCAAACACAAACCTCTAATATAACTGAAGCACTCCAGGCTTGAGTGCGACAACTATCTGAGCAGTAACTTCCGTCCTTATTGGTAAGTTCAGGAAGTCCTCTCCAATGGTTGGTAGACACTTCAATAAAATGCCGAGAAATAATGGTTTCAGTCGATTCAATTACATGGTATAATTCGTTTTCATCGTCGAGTAATGTCGCAAAGTATAAACGTGCTCGTAGGAAATATCCTAATGGCCAGATCCATTCCTGAAAAGATTGGGAAAGATGTTTAAGAATATCTTGCATGAATGTTAAGTCTCTCAATCTTTACAGATTTCAAAACGAATATACGATTATGATAAAAGATATATTTACAGGCCCTTGATGATAATTCCATCCATGTGCTACTTTAGAATCGGTACTGTCATTGGAATTATCATAATATCCATTATATGCCCAATCCGCAGGATCTAATGTCTTCATTCCTAGCGGGCCAAGTAGTACCTCCTCTGCTTTTTTCAGCGCTGTCCAAGCATGACGAGGATCAAACAGTTCCGGAGCCTATTTTTGAATCATTATGAATTGTGATTGAATTTGTTATGATATAAAATACTTCTTTTCTATATTATCTTCACAGAATAGTTTTAATTACTGATAATAACACTCACAACGACCATCGCAATGGGAAAGTTAGGCCGCAACTGATAATCCGCCCATTCTTGCGTCGCTCCGTGACTGTCCTTAAATATACCTCGTCGATGGATCAAATTGGGTTTCGACTCGCTCTGAGTTGGAATCTCATTTACGTAAAAGTACTTTTCGAAATTTGTTTGAATTCTGTCGGCCCATTGTTTATAACTCCAGGTTATTATTTGGCCTATAGTTCATGTATAATTATATAGAATTACGCAAAGTTAAATATTTAAACTAAATTAAATATTTTATTACACACAGTGTTCTCGGCATCCTTACCATCGCGATTTTTACGTTGAACACTGCCGTATGGAAAAAGATTCTGTTTGTACAATTCAGCCAGAAAACTGAGAATGCATTTACTTAGCCCAACTATCTCTACGGCGGAACCGTCTCTAGGAGTAGCCGGTTTGCCTTTGTTACCAGCTTTTTCAGAAGATCCCATCTTGTCCATCCAGGTACCGCAATTAGCATCGTTGCCACCGAATATGAAACCGGTTTCAGGATGAACACCGATCTGATTATTAAATCCGCGATCGGTCATATGCTCGTCGATCTGTTTCCCGGCGTTTCTCTCTCTGAAGCAGAGACCTTGAAAGTGTACCGTGAGAGCTTCCTGAATTACTTCATATAGTGATTGATCCTGAAACCATTTTTATGTCACGTAACGCGCAACTTTTAATTTAAATGATGTATATTGAATTACAATCGAAGTTGCGACTACTGTTTTTTATAACATACATTTTGTCCTGACTCTAAAGCTGGTGAATCATCAGTCGGGAACAATCTTGAAACTTTATCGGATAAAATATCCAAACCGTTTGGCACTTCCTCAGTGTAACATTTTATCGTATAGAGCCACCACCATAAAGCATCGCGGCAATTGTACCTATTGCAGAATGACATCAAAAGTTTTGAATCGAAACTTCCTAAAATATTTTCTAAAAATGCTCCAAGAAAGTATATTATACCTCGCATTACTTCCTTTATCGAGCAGATTGGGTATCAGGCCATGTCGTAAAGTACCAGCGAATCCAAGAATTATGAATCTTGCTTCGATATGCCTGTCCGTCAAAAGTAACAGTCCTCTCAGAGCAATGAAAGTATCCCTACCCCAATTTCTTGTATAACCCGTTGTGAAATGCGGTAAGCCTGCCGATAATGTTAAACACATTTGTTCTGCCACTCCGTCGTGGATTTTAATTTTTGGCTTAGGTGATCTAAGATCTGGCGATAAATCTGGTAATTGTGATGATCTTACCACACCACCCATTTGTATCGAGACTAAACTCAATAATTTAACAAATGTAGACCCGTTCTTAACAAAGCTGGAAAATAATAATAATGTTAAATAAGCAAAACATGATTAATTTTTGTTGTAGATATTTTATTTTTTTTTAAATATTAATTAGAGAACTTCTTAGTTTAATGCTGTTAAATTGATTCAATATTCATTTCGATTTCAATACTTACTCTGACATTAAACTGTTGCAGTGATCTAAAAGAATTCTATAAACGTTCACAATTATAACGTCAAAGTAACTCGGCACAAGATATCTCGGGATTAATTTGAACGGTTCTAGTGCTTGTTCAAGCCAAATTCCAAGAGATTTAGTGTCGTCATCCAGTTTTAGACGTTGCCACACGTAATCTAATAATTTTTTAATTATTATTTTCATCACATATCGTCAGTATCGCAATATACGATTATCATTTTATATTACCTATTAACCAGTTACCCTGTCTAAGATTGACACACAGGGGATGTCCTAGATCGTTATTTGGACGAATATCAGCCAGTAAAGATATAATGCCTAATTTGAAAATGCGTATTAGCTGAGGCATTTATTAAACAACAATAGGATACGAATAAAACTCGTGCCAATATATTGATGTACGAATTGTAATTTAAAAAATATGAAGAGTGTCTATATAAATATATACTTCCATATTCAATTAAATATAATATTACAGTGCATCACCTTGCAACCCAGCATATACAAGAGGCCCGTATCCCGGCACATTGTATACTCCAAATTTGCTCTGAGTTTCTTCTCGTTCCTCCTGATCGCATCTATATAATATTTTATTTAAATCCGAAAAGTCCATGCAGGAAATTATATTATGTAATTCTGATTTTTCATTTGAAGTAATCTGCGAGATAGTATTTTGGAGTTTTATTAAAGCAGGTACTATATTCGCGTGAAGAGCCACACTGAAATTAAATTTATACATAAGAAAGTTAGAGGATACCATGGTTTGAGAACAGAAAGTTGTAATTTGTACCGTATAGCTATAACGGAACCGGGTTGAAAATTCACGAAATTAAGCTGCGTAATTTTAGGATCGCCGGAATCAACCTTCTCGATCATCGAGGAGTCGCAACATTGTATGTGCTGTTTGAGGCTCAATGTATACTCAGACAATCCATTTATGATGTTTTCGTCCATTGTATATTTCTCGGGTAAAAAGAAAAGTGGTTTACCATTTCTGTAATGTGATTTATCGATCAACATAAACATGTAATCTTTCTTTTAAAGAAAATAAAATTTACGGCTTACTTGGCATCAATGTGCGAAAGTGACGCTTCTAAAATAATTTCTTCCACTATACCCTCCACTCTCAGTGGTCTTACGTGCTTTCTCAGATCATGAGCGTTAGAGTCTGGGTGTTCAAATGCTGTGAATGCGACCAAAACTACACTCTCGTGAGTAGTCGGTGAGTGTCTTGTTACAGCCACTATATCAGTATCCATTTGATCGACAAATACCTAATCAGAAAATAAATTTTTAGCTATATATATTAACTTCTAACACACCGCAAAAAAAATCAGTTTTTTCTTAAAATCGCGAAAACTCTGCAATCCCTAACATACTTGCGAAAATTTTTGTTCACCAAGCATATAATGGAGATCGTTTAAAACCTTTTTAGCCGCAATTATACCAGTTTTCGAGTTAATAAACTTAACGTTGTTTGTCACATCGTCGTCTGACCATGAAGTGTACTGCCTTTTCTCATCTACCACGTGTATCTGAAAAAAAATAAAATCTCAGAAAATCTTATAAATATACCAGGGGGGATTTCATGACAGAAATACAAAAATTTGAATTTGCACTACGAGCTTACGTGATGAGGCACCAATTCATCGTATCCACGATTACTACCACTAGCACAGCATGCCATCGATACAAGCGCTGCGCTTGGAAGTAGATCAAAAGTACTTCGTTTCTCTATTGGACTAGGATTATCGTGAGTCACATCCATAAACAGGGCGTGAGCTATGCTCGGCACTAACGGCCGTGTTCGTGGTTGCAGGAATGCTCCAACTGGCTCTCCTCCGTACCGATATACTAATCTCCCTTGTTCATGGCTATCCCAAGCAGACATAGCTTCTGCAATATATAATAGTATTGATGTATATTTTCATTCGCAATATGTTCTTTTTTTTATTAACTACATTTTAAAAATATTAAGTAAATAACAATTTTTGGGAAATATGACAACCTCTTATTAAAGATGTGATGCCAAGACGATTCACAAAGATGTTGTCTTTTTGATCGGAATTGGTAAACAATTCTGCGACAACGTAGAGATCTGGATGAACTCGTCGTGCAGCGTCGAGCATATACTGTAAATAGAGAATCATGCTATTAAGTAAACCCTCCTGCATTAAGGTTGTTTAAATTGTGATATACCTCAGCGACGGGGATCGGTGTAGAATGACAATTGTCTAATCGAATACCATCGAATATCTGTGCCGTTTGTTTTACATAGGTTTCCATGTGCTGCCATAAGAAAGGACAATCTTCTGGTTTCTGCCCATATCTATAACAATATCATATTAAGAACATATATTTTATAAATTTTCTGTTCATGCTGTACTTTCTACTAATAATTTAATAAAAATTTAAATAACGTTTATCTGACATTTTTACCTGAGTTTCACGCTGTCTCCCCAAGCGATGAGTTCTCTTCGAATATACACATTAGAATCAGATTCCGCGAAATTCTTCAAGGGATCACCATCCATGACCCATCCATTGTGAGCCATAAGATAACATCCATTATCTGAATACATTATAT